CTGAGAAACAAAGTAATAATACATTTGTACCCAGTGTTTTAGTTTCAGCTACATTAAAATTTAATAAACCAATCAATTTCAAAATTAAATGTTTCTTATCCCATATGAAAGTAGTCTGTTTTATTTAAGAAAAATCACCTTTAAAAAAATTTAATGTTTGGATGTCAATAAATTGTTGACATGGACTGGTTTGCGGGTAAGCTTTTATACTTAGTGTACAATAAAGATTCAGTTTTGATGTCAATATAGTTGCTTCTGAAAGAATTAAACTATAAACAATAGCATTTATATTAATATCTCAATGGCAGTTCAGTATACTTTCATCATTGTTTTCAAATAACAAAACAGAACTACAGTTTTAAAATTGAAAAAAAAAAATGAAAAGAATTTCATAAATGGATGGTTTTTTAATTACTTAAAACAGAAGATGCATCAATACAGCATTACAATGTATATGATTAATATTTCTTTTCATGGACAATCATCATTTAAATTCTTCATTAAAAGTTAAATTCAGCTTCCTTGTGTCTAAAAATCCACATCCATGCTGTTCCATTTACCTAGAAATTAAATAAATAATATTTTTAACGACTTTCTGTAATATGAAAAAATTAATCATTGATTAAAACAGACAGCCAATATAGCAGTTGAATTAAAATTCACCTGTTTCTGTGACATTTGCATGTAAGATTAGAGTGTTCAGAGGTATATACCCAGCCACCTTTAATTTCCCTATCTTGAGCCAGGTACTCATGAGAGCTGGTACTCATGAGACTTAGGACATCATACCAGGACTAAAACCAGGGATCTGAACTCTTATCTTTTAGGATAGAAATGTGAAAGCTACTGTCTGACAGTGCCACTATCAAGCCATACATATTAATACTTACAGTAAATAATCTTAGTAGCAACATATTCTTTAAGAATTAGAAAACTGAATCGGTTTCAAACTTGGGCTTAAGCTAAAAAATGGCTTATTATAAAAAAAAATTCAGCTCACCTTTAGTTCAAGATCAGCACCAATAGCCACAGTAAAGTGTGAGAAAATTGCTTGCCAAGTACCTAGAGAATTTAAATATAATAAAGTATTAAGTTTATCCATATATTATATTAAAATAATTATTTAACTAATATGTGATATTAATATATATATATATATATATATATATATATATATATATATATATATATATATATATATATATATATATATATAAAAGGTTTAATTTATTGTAAAGGTTCGGTTTTCTATCTACTTAGCTTGTCTTAAAAACTAAAATATCTGGTTTACAGTTAACCATATCTTAACTATTACAAAACTATTAGTTTCATTTTCATTACTTGTAACTAAAAATTGGTGTCAATAGATCTAAAACTTAATTCTATTAACAGCTAACTGTAACCGTACTGACTCTGACCAATTTATTAATTTTTATACCATGTAATTCATTAATAATTAGGCTTATACTAAAAGGCCAAAAGTTATCAATTGTAGATTTTATAGTCCCTGGTCTAGACTAACAAGACTAGCCTACAAGTCTAATAGTACTAATACACATGATCTAGTTTCTAAGTTTACTACTAGGCAACTTGCTAGAAGACTAGTACTTAACCAAACTTTAACTTGCTAAAAATAAAAGGGCCTAATACAATAGTAGATGGCCTAGTAATACTTTTTTTACTGTGCTACTTACACTGCTTTTGGTACTATTACTACGGCTAACTAACTACTAACTAAACTCTATTGTAGCTTGATGGAGATCTATCATCTTGCTCTTCTAGTAGTCTACACTACTGTAACAATTTCAAACTAAATTTAATCTATATAGTATATATTACTAGATCTACTAATTGCAACACTGTAGTCTGACTGATAAGTCTGTAAGCCCTAAATGTATCTAGATTCTAGTCTAATTTAGTTTAAGTCTAGTTATTAGTACCTACCCTCTACAATAGTTTACAGTACTCTACACTACACTCTACTACTACTCTACTCACTCTACTGATCTAGTAAATAGTAAAATAGCTAGAGTAGATCTAGTCTAGAAATCTAGATTCTAGATCTAAAAAAAATCGGTTTAAAATTAAAAACAGGTTAGCCTTACCTAGATCTAGCTCTTACTAAACTTAACTAGGGTAGGTTTTACCTAAACTAGATCTAATCTAGATCTAGAATCTATCTAGATCTACTAGATTCTCTAGATCTAGATTTTTAGATCTAGGGCCTACCATACTCTGCATCTAGATCTACTTCTATACTATCTAGTATTTAGTATTTAGCCATCTATCTACAAGTCAAAGCTACTTCTTACAGTAATCACTGAGTAATCAGCACTAGTCTAGAGTCTAGTTCAGTAATCTAGCTAGATCTAGATCTAGGTCTATTAACATTAACATTGTTGTCAAAGTTCTAGATATCTAAATCTAGATCTAGATCTAGATTCGATTAATAAGTATTAGTTGTAGGCTGAGTGAGACTGAAAGTGAAAGTCATCCTGTTTACCGTCATCCTTTTCTTAATATTTTTAATATTTTATCTAGATCACTAAAATACTAGATCTAGAATCTAGATCTAATATATTCTAATTCATGAACGTATACTCTTAGAACTAGATTAAAGCAATGTAGATCTTAGTTGGTAGATTCTAGAATCCAGATCTAGACTAGATCTAGGTCTGGGAATCTTGAGTCTCGTAGCAAAGACTGAGTAGAGTCAGACCAGAGTAATGTCCCCTAGCCTTGGACAAACTAACTATCAACAAAAGAAATAAAATCAATATACTTACCGCCACAAAACTTTTATATTCAAAAATGCATACACATATGTTTGTTCCCATCCATATGAACAAAACAGCGTTGAAAGTTTTTACAATTGTTGCATTTCTGGAACGTTTGATGATTTTGAAATCTTGAAGCGGGACCTACTAACAAATAGCCGCCATGTTTTTTGTTATCAATGGGAATCCCGTTCACAACAATTGATTTAGTTCGAAAACTTTTATCTCTCCCTGGCTAACCAGACATGAATTAACGCGAGAAAGAACGATAAACTTACAAGTTCTATAAGCATGCCAAAACTGAGCCAGATGTAAAGAAGGTAAGTGCCATAAAATCCGTTTTGAAATGACCCTCTGTTTTCCACATAAAATACAAAGATTATATAGGGAAATACGACTGGTCAGTTTTGACCCATTTTCCGATTTTTCCCGGACATGGCGAGTTTTTTGTGACACCCCAAGGCATTCTCCTACCACATAACAAAATATCAAGGGGGGTCGTCGGAGGAATTTTTTTTTCGTAATAGAGCTCATATAAAGAGAATTTCACTCGCGGTCACTTTTTAGCCCTCGTCGAGGGCTTTGAGTGTAACCGACAGTTTTCCCTAAAGGTCAAGCCATTTACCTATAAGCATGCCAAAACTGAGCCAGATGTAAAGAGGGTAAGTGCCATAAAATCCGTTTTGAAATGACCCTCTGTTTTCCCCATAAAATACAAAGATTATATAGGGAAATACGACTGGTCAGTTTTGACCCATTTCCCGATTTTTCCCGGACATGGCGAGTTTTTTGTGACACCCCAAGGCGTTCTCCTACCACCTCACAAAATATCAAGGGGGGTCGTCGGAGGAATTTTTTTTCCGTAATATAGCCCATATAAGGCGCCGGTCAGTCAAGGTCAGTTTTGACCCCCGCTCCTTAGACTTTTTGCCGAACCGTCACCGGCCCTCGTGTTCTATCGCCATAAGGCACCTTAGTGCCAAATTTGACGCGCCTGCGGCGCCGGGAAGTGCCTTATCGGGCACCCGACCACTTTGCTTTATATATATAGATATTCACAAATTCTTAGCTTAACAATGTGGCCAATTTAACAACAAACTTACCATTGTAAAATTTAACATTTTAACAATTGAAAAGCATTTTTTTAATCTTTTATAGTTACATTGATTATTTAACAAATACCTCTTAAGGTCATGAAATAGAATAAACTACGCTATCTGCCACATGAACCGACAGGTTCAAAACTTCTTAACAATGTCTGTAACCTCTTAAAGAAAAAAAAAAAACGTGTTATATCTCTTTGTTTTGAGGGATATGATTGTTTGTGACTTCATATATAGGTCTTTGTATCTGTATTAGAAGATCGGAATTTTTATTCTAAATACACCGATTGTGAATATTTTGTTTAATCGCTCATATCGTCTTTTTCCTCGTTTAAGCTATCTTGCTTTTCTTTTTGGATTTGTTTCTATAGCCATTGTCAATACAAGAACAAACTACAAGGCTGCAGTTGTTTGATTTTAGAGTTTTCTTACCTAGATGAGTTCCTGTTCCCAGTTACAGAGCCCAGAGGCCTCAGGAGGCTGGGGCGGTATCAATGCATCGATACCTCAGTTTCATTGCTCGATTGTTTTGAAAATAATTCCCAACAAGTATAAACTTATTTATCTAGCATTTTTGTAAATATTCGGCATACGTTTATTTTTAAATTGTATACTTTAAAACAAAAGCAATAAGAATGAATTCTTTTATTTTACATAATTATTTTAAATAATAGGCAAAGTTTTGTGGGGGGGTTTTAAATTTAAAAATCAAATTAAAAGAAAAGTTTTGTTGCAAACACAACAGCCAATAAATTATATTGATTAATAAATATCTTAATGGAAAATAAGAATGTATCTGTTTGTTATGTGCTTACTATTGTAACTATATCTAATATATCTTAACCACTACAAAAAGCAACTGTATTAGTATTGATTTTATTTACATTTCAGTCATATTTAGTTTATTTTTCAAGCAATACATTACACTTAAATATACTAATAACTAATTACAATTAAAATAAAATGCACAAAATGGGTATTTTATATGTTGATAAAACAATGACAATCCTAAAATGTGGAGGTACGATGAAACTGAAAAAAAAAACATGTGTTATTTGTAATCTTAAGATAGTACCAGTTTTAAAAAACCCATGTAAACTAAAATAAAATATACATGAGAAATCATTAAAATTAATACAAATACTCTACCAAATGAAACGTTGTGAAATATAAATCTTTAAACAACTTATACAAGTGCTAAAAATTCAGATCAAACAACAATAATCGATATGCTAAATATAAATATAAAGTTCAGAATTTCTGAATACTAAAACATATTGTGTTATTTATACATTTGGTTAATAGTTTAAAAGCTTGTCATAGAACGCTGTAATCGTTTTTGTATGACATTAACACACTATCGTTGTTTCTGAATTTTTATTTATTCATAATTTTATCCATTATTATTTGTTTAGTATCTTTATGGCATTTTTTTTAGTGTGTTTTCATTTCTGCCGCCCCAGAATTCTTTTTGAAGTTGTCAAGATCTTCCTTTAATTCTTTGATAGACCTCTGCAGGCCAACAGCAAGTAGTAGGGCTGCAGCCCTAGCATTGGTTGTTTTCAGTTCGTTGTAAATCGAATCTGCTTCTATTTGTAATTCATGGATACATTTCATTGAAAGATCAAGATTCTCAAAATTAATATCAATATCTATCAAGCCCTCTGTAATAAAACACATTCTTTCAAATACCGTTCCTTTAAAAAAAGGTTTACTCAAATACCCCATACCATCAATCATCATTATAAGTTTTTCTACCTGTATTTCGTTTTCCCTTTCATCTCTAAAGTTGTTGTTAAACAAGATAGAACGGGAACCACATTCTTGAATCAAAGTTTGAATTTCGGGTTCAGCTTTTCTTGCCAACCACATTTCAAAGCTTAAATTCTCTTCCACAACTTCTTCCTCAGTTTCAAAAATGTCGCCACCGGTGAATAAAAGTATTCCGTTATGTCTCATAAAAGCCTCACCAAAAGTTTCTTGTACAATTTCAAGTGTCTGTATGTCTTCAGCAGTAATCTGGTTGTTGTATTTCATTACGATGACTATAGCATCGTAACGATAATTATCCATTGCCTTTGCCATCCGAAGTAGATGTTTGTTATAACCTTCTTGTTTCGGTCTTGTATCACACAACCCTGGGGTGTCCACAACTTGAATTTCTATTCCCTTATACATTGAGCTCATCGCAATGGTATGTGATGTTGCTGGCGATACCCCGTTCGATATTCTAAAAGCATCTTTGTTTTGTAAAATAGTGTTCCCTGTTGAGCTTTTACCTTGTCCAATTTTTCCAACTAGCAGAATGTTAATGAAGGGCATCTTTCTGAAATGAAAAAAAAAACACATTGCAACAATGGGAAATCTAGTTTCTAATAACTTCAATGTTTTAAAATTTATAAAAATGTTTTTAAAATACTAACATAAGATACACATTTTACATTAAAATCACTAATGCATATTTTGTATTCCTATAACGAAGCACAAAATAGTGCTTAATTATTTATTAACTTTAAAATAATTTACATATTTTCACAAATAACTATAATTTATTATCATTTATATTGACGATTAAAAAAACCATCTCTACCAGTTTAGTGTAGCTCCCAGCTGTGTGAATCGCTTACACTGCGACAATGTTATCTAGCAATAACCAGTCCAGCTTTTTAACTGTGTGATCGTCCCGGAACTGGCAAGTTCGACGCCTTGTCACATGGTGGCTGCTATGGAGACATTGTAAACAAAGGGCTGTAAGTATAGCAGTCAGGCGTATCCTGGTGTATTGTATTTGTGATTTATTTTCAACCACATGTAGCGCAACGGTGTTTAAAATTTATGCTCAATGTAAAAAAGGATGTTTATAAATAGCATTATAACGTTATTTATCTCTTGTTTGCAAAAAAGCCACATGAATATATGCACAAACAAAGCTGATTGCTCTTCATTCACCAAGAAACGTCGTCATGTTTAGAAGACACAGTTTAAAAAAAAACTAAAATGTACAGCCTCAGTGTTACATTATGTTTGTTCATGTCGGTGTAACAATTTCAATCTTTTGTTTTACTCTATTTATTTTAAATATACCGGTTCTTCTTGTTTTGTTATAAGCTTTGATTTAACCTAACCTACTCTGTCGTTCGTTTGTCTTTTGTCTTTGTCATGGGTCTAAACTTGCAAATGTCATCCACTTTTACCATATTGATTACTCCAAAATTAAACAACTGCTGCCTTGTAGTTTGTTCTTGGTTGGACAAAGGCTATGGAAGCAAATCCAAAAAGAAAAGCAGGCTGAAATCGGAGTCAATGGCCTCAATGGCGCATAACAAGTTGACACGTAACGCTTAATTGTGTTGGAGGCGTGGTCGAGTCGGCAAAAAGCTCATGGTTGATAAATTCGAACAAAGTCTCGAGATCAAAACCCACTGGCAGATAAATCTCGATCCCCTTCCACACTAATAATTAAGAACGAAGAAGAAGAAGAAGAAGATTACTTTTTTACTTGTCACGTTGGTGGAGACCTTGTAACATAGTAATATGATATTAACGTCGACTTTATTTTATATATTATTTGGTTTTAAGTTAATGAAATGTTTTTATATAAATAACTAAAGTTTTCTCTCTACTACACACAACTTTGTTCATTTTGTGCACATGTATTTCTAGGTACGCCATTTGATTTACTAAAACAAAAAAGTGTTAAATAAAATCAAGTAATTACAAACGTATATATGCAAGCTTTTACATGTGTTCACTAAAACAACAAAACAAAAGATTTTCTTCAATTATTTAGTTCGTCACCACTATTTATATAATGGCCGAAAAATATGTAGGTCTCTGAAACATACAGAAAATCTATATTTATAACTACAATTTTAGTTAGTTAACTTTTACTGCTGTTTAGCTAAGTAAACTATGTAAATGGTTTTCGATCATAACATTTGACATTTTGGCCTTGACCAGGATCACCAAAGTGAAATCAATTACAGATTTAGTAGTAATCAGTGTTTCTTCCAGACCTTTTTCTCGGGGGGGGGGGGGGGGGGGGTACTTGAAATTTTCGGCGGGCGGACGGCGGACACTGTTAAAAGTATATTTTTTCTATATAAATTCCATTTCGTTCTGGGGGCGGTAGACTTTTTTCGGGGGGGGGGGGGGGGGAAGCCTCCCCGACGAGAAGCCTAGAAGAAACTCTGGTAGTAATAAAATCAAACAAATAGTACCAAAACAATCTTCGCAAAATGTATAAGAATGTATGAGAATGGTAAATGAAACAAAATAATACAAAACGTAGAATTTTATAATAACTAGGTTTCAAATAACGTAACATGACGTCAGAAAAAGGTAACCCACTGTTGCAATACATATAATGTAGTATTTACATTATTTCCTATAATGGTTTATTTTATAATACTAAGGGAAATTACAAAAAATAAATTTAAATTAATTACGACGCAAACAGCTAGTCCGCACGAACAAAATCCGATCGCAAATGTATGAGTAGGGTATGTATCTTGACCGCCGTGGGGTTTGATAGAACCCATGTTAAGTACCATTACAGTAAACCATAAATACACGTCATCTAATAGAGTACTTCATCCTAAGGACAGATCATTCAATGGGAAAGCACCAAGAAATTATAATTATATTATATCTACGTTTTAACCATTTGCGTCCCCTGGCGTTGTAATTGGCTATCAAGCTTAATGGAGATGGTAATATTATAAGTATTATTTCAACGAACGCTCTGAGATTACTTGATATAATTACCAGTGTATTTTTGTGTAAAGTATCTTACTTGTTTTTCATCTTTTTAAGTTTTAAAACACATTTCTTTACATTTGAATAGTGATTCTAGTTATGTTCATGCTTTTTACATAATAATACTCTAATTTACAATGTACTAAATACCACGGAGAGTAACCGAACCACATTTCTCAAACTTGACCTGACATTTGAGTTATAAATAGAAATACTAAGACTGTATGTAAGATTAAATAAGTAGAATAAAAGATTGTTCTATACAATATATAGTATATAATATGTATACCGTAATATAACTAGAAACATTTTTCAATTAACAACAATATGTAACAACGAAATACATTGCATGAACATTCACATACGGGGAAGGAATCTATAGATTCATTATACAATTATATTCTTTATTATTTTAGGTTTATAATTAATACGTTCAGAATCAGTAACAATTAATTTTAAGTAGTATATAGTAACTGTAATAGATATACACATAATAATATTCAATGTTCTATCTTCAAATAATGTTGGTTACTTTTATGAAAGAAATGAAATAAATTTTCAAACTAAAATAGAAAACAAGTAAAAAGCTAATTGTAGTGATTACTATCTGCAATGCTAAAAATAAAAAATTTAAATAAAAATTAAAAACAAAACGTATTTAGACAAACAATACAATAATTTGATTTTTTTTTTCGAAATATTAATTCCTTGTTTACAAATGTAAAAGATCCATTAACGATGAATGTAATCACAAAATAATTATTTTCTTTTAATTTGCGAAATGTGAATTCCAAAATAATAAAACGCTTTTTAAGACATTGTCAAAATTACTAAAACTGCAAAGATAGAAACTGTGAAGAAAGATATAAGTGGATTATTAAACCTTGATAAGAAATTAGCGAATAATAACATTTGCTTAATAATAATAGTGAAGTACAAAAAAAGAAAAAAAAATGTGCACTGAAGATTTTTCATCGAAGTCATTAAATTTCCGGTAAAATCTTCAAGCCGACTCGGCACACTCCGCTCCCTGTGCGTCCCGAGTAAGCGCCGCCATCCACCACCCCGTTGATGCCAAGGTAAAGGTCATAGTTGACCGAACCCTCACACTGCCACTGACCTTTCAGGCCGTACAGGCCAGGGCTGGAGAAGTAGTTGGCCGTGGTGACGTCATCGTCAAAGATCCAGGTCACGTGACTGTCACCGGCAACCAGTGTCACACGTTTGCTGTTAAACAAAGGCGGAACGGACTATTTATAGTCTCATCAGCTTGTGGATAAAAATAGCATTAGTATGATGTCTAGATAAATAATGGGAATAACTAAGTCAGTCATGAGTTCTAATTAAAGAGTTGCTCACTGTTGTTTTTAATTGAACTAAGTAAACAGAGTTTAAATTATAATGTGTCAAGTGTAGGTCTACTCCAATAGGAGTGAAGCAAAATAAACTTTTTAGCTTTTTTTTGTTTAATCTACCTTTGTTGTTTACCATCCAACTTATATACACAAACTTCATCTTCTTCTTCGTTCTAAATTTTTGGTGTTGGAAGGGATCGAGCTTTATCTGCAGAGGATTTGAACTCGAGACTATTTCGAATGTATCAACCATGAGCATTTCTGCCGACTCGACCATGCTTCCATCACATGTAAGGATACGTGTCAACTGGTTATACGCCATTGAGGCCATTGACTCCGATTTCAGCCTGCTTTTCTTTTTGGATTTGCTTTCATAGCCTGTGTCCAACCAAGAGCAAACTATAAAACAGCAGTTGTTTGATTTTGGAGTTGTCTCTCCTAGAATAGTGGCTGTCCTCAGCTAACGAGCCTCTTCTGCCCGAGGGTTCAAACTCGAGACCATTAGCAACCATGAGCTTTACCGACTCGACCACGCCGACCCCAACACAAACTTGATATCACGAATCAAAATAAAAAAAATCATTAAAGTTTGTATTACAGTTAATGTCTGATAAATGAGTGAATACTTTTTTTCACAGTCGCTATCAATTATTTTGTGTTGCAATGTTTCTGTGTGAAATATATGAATTACTTATTCGTAACTGTCGTCACTAAGACATATAGACTACAAAGTAGAGTTTCGAGGATTGGATGTAAATGAAAACAAGGGTTTGTTTAAAAAATGTATCACCGTGAGCACTTAAAACTTAAGGGTAAGTTGGGGGAGGGGGGAGTGAAGGTGGCAAATATGCTCCAGCTCTCCAGGCCTTCACCCCTTACCCCTACCTTCAAAAGATGCATGAAAGAAGCTTAGTGGCTTCACTAGGTTGTATAACTTAAGGTGTCAACAACCCCTTGCATTTTTTTAATCTTTTCAGTTCCCCCCCCCTCCCGTTTTATATTTTCAACTAGATATAACATTGTTTTATCATTACATTTTACACGTTTATTTTTTTTCTTGGTGTCGCCCATCTTTATCACTCCTTCCCCCTTTTCCCATCCCTACCCCGTTTAAGAAAGCGCACCTCTCGATATTACTCTAGCTCTATTGCTGAAAGAGATAGAGCCCTACATAAAAGATACGTGTGCCTGCGTTTAAATACTCGAAGCTTTTAATTATCAGCTTGTGTCTGTGTATTATTTTTATACCGTGCTTTGTAGCGAATGACATATCACCAAAATAAAATTACTTAATTGCCAAATATGTGTACTTGTGTTTCCATGTCATTGTTTAAATTGCCTGTTATCGCGGATGTTTTCCATAATCTACACTAACACAAAGTTTCCTTACGTAAATTTGTTGGGCAAGCTAAAGGCCAGTCCACTGCCGCCGTTATCGCTGTAGTAGGCCGACATGAATCCGTCTAAGCCTTGTACCTCAGCGTCTGAGGCCTGTGTCATCGCGTCTCCAGCTAGATTTAAAGTACAATAGATGACATAAGCTTTGTGTCATATAGTCTTCAGCTAGATTAAAAGTACAGTTGATGACATAAGCTTTGTGTCATCGAGTCTCCAGCTAGATTTAAAGTACAATAGATGACATACGCTTTGTGTCATTGAGTCTCCAGCTAGATTTAAAGTACAATAGAGGACATAAGCTTTGTGTCATTGAGTCTCCAGCTAGATTAAAAGTACAATAGATGACATAAGCTTTGTGTCATCAAGTCTCCAGCTAGATTTAAAGTACAATAGATGACATAAGCTTTGTGTCATATAGTCTTCAACTAGAACAAACGTGCAATAGATGACAAGAACTTTATGGTATCAAGTAACCAGCTAGAACAAAAGTGCAAACGATGCTTAAAACACATCAAATGTGCTGTGTGAACTTATCAGCTATAAAATAGGGAAATTAATGTTTACAATGTAAATTGTGTGTCATGGATAATTTCCAATTTGTAAGGAAAGTAGAAATAATGTTCGAATTTTGTGTTATATAATTTTCATCAATAACGAAACCAGAACTGAAGTTAAACTAAAAACAGGTACATATTTTTATGAGCTTCTTGACTAAATAGCTTAGTGTTAATAATAGTTGTTTTTTTTTTGTTCCAAACAAAAATCAAATCATTCAAGCTAAAAAATATAGTTTACAAAAATATTGGAATAGAATATGGTTTCACCAAAGTCTTATGTTGATTTTTTTTTTATTAACCTTAACATCTCTCCGCATAAAATATAATGTGATTAATATAATTTAAAAAATCTCATAAAAACCGTTGTCACCTTACCGTAGCCGTTGTTGGTGTCTGAGTCCCCCAGGTCAAAAAGCCAGCCTGTGGGGGACGTCATTTCCATGTCGACCAGCACCCGCTTCTTCCGTACATCATCCTTTGACAGCATTATTTTGAGAACCCCTGGAAATATTACCAACATGTAGAACATAAGAACGTAAATTGTATTTCTATACAAAGCATTCACATATTGTTTGCTAGTAATTTCAAGCTAAATGTAATAATTATTGCTGAGAATAAGGAGTAAAAAATTAAAAAGTAAACTATATACATTCTCAACATGTAAAGAGATCCAAGGGAAAGCAACGCAAGGGTCGACCCTTGAAGAAAATACGCAGCGTGCTACAGGAGGCCGAAAGAATAGGAAGCAAAGAGGATAGCTGAAAGCTTGGAAAGAGGCTGTGTTCTGCAAGAAACGAAAAGAAAAAATGAGGATGTTTTGATTTTCAGAGAAATTTTATAAGATAACTACAGGATATATATATATATATATATATATATATATATATATATATATATATATATATATATATATATATATATGCATGTGTGTGTTTATGTGTATTTGTATGTATGAGCATATGTTTGTGTGGCCTTCTATGTAAATGTGCATAACGTATTTTTTCTTTTTTCTGTCGAATGCACATCTGTATCTACCAATTGTACTGCATCCAGACCCAGTAAATGGAATATGCACGGCAACGCTCTCGTTTTCTTTTTTGACACCAGTTTCAAAGTCGAAGAACGCGTCATAGTCGTCTTTGGTAAACTGCTGTTGAGAGTGGATAATACAGTAGGGTTAGGCATAGTTTAGAATAAAATGGTGAAATATGCATTAATCATTTTATTATGAAACAAGAATAAATATTATTGCATTTTTAAAACACAGATTCTTGAGGAAAGGTATTAATGGGTTCCACATTTTAAAAGATATTTACAAAAAAATCTCTTGTATGTTAAGGGGATATGCTATGTTTTTTTCTATTTTTTACAGTTTAAGATCTAAAGCCTTTTGAATACTTTTATCATATTTGGCATATAAAAGTAAGTATTAAACAGCAAAAAAAAGGTCGAAAACAATTTTGGTTGTCATGGAAACCCAAAAAACCTCCGCCATTTTGAATTTTTCGGTACTTTTAAAAATACTAAGGCTTTTTTATTTATGCACCTATAGCAATCAAATTTAAACTGCTTATATTTCAGTATATATTAAAACTTTTGTCACGACAACTTTTTGAAATAATTACTAGTAAGAATTTTACTTTTCTAAAAAATCGTACCCTTTTTAGTATTCAATAATTTCTAAATGTGCATGTTAATTACCAAATACTTTTTTTCTATGAAAGCAATCACAACTCCCTCGTGACAAAAGTTGTATTTTCGCATCAAGAACATTTACTGAAAATATGGTTGGCATTGTTTAATAAATGAAAAAGTAGTAGGCTTTTTAGTGTTAAAAACCTGCGAACTGAGAAAAACCGCCAAAAGTAACGAAAACTAGGTCAGGAAAGTACCATATCTGTGTAAACTGCAAGCCGATTGTGAGCTTTGGGTGCTTCCGAGATCTAGGAAATTAAGTTTATTAAATACATGAGAAATCCAGCTTTCCAATGATGTCAAATACAATATAATGACGGATATAAAACTTTTCATAGAGAGCTTGTAAGATTGGGAAAAATTGATTATTTTTTAATTAATAGGGTCATAAAAATCGTAATTCAAACACATAAAATATTTTTTTCTCTTTAAAGTTATTATTTTCTTTATACAAAAATGGACAAAGTATCCAAAAGGGCAAGAAACCCATCATGACCAAAAACAAGAAATTTTGTGATTTTTCCCCGCGCATATCCCCTTAAATGTTTGTTTTGTTTTTTTGTTTTTTTTTAAAGAGTGTTCGACAGCGATTATTGATTGAAATTATTATTTAAGGAAATTAAATTAAATGCTTTTTCATGTTTAATATAATATCCTTGTTCACTTGTAATAGTACCTACCTTAGCTGAGGTTACCAGAAACACTATTGCCAATATAACGATCTTAACCACTAGCAAAATCTCCATGGTTTCCTACGTTTACTGATCCAGTGCGGCAAACAGTCGTTTATATAACATGTGTCGTGTTCCTGCTGCCAAAATGTTTATATGCATTCATGTTTCATCTACGTAATTATTACACTAATTATTTTTACTTCCCAGAGCAAAACCAAAAAACACGCACAAAGGAAAACAATCGAAAACACAATACAAACACAAGTCAAACACACACAAACGCAAACTCAGTTAAAAATTCAAACACACAGCAAAACGCAAATGCAAACACAAACCCAACCACTTTATCAAATTACGCTTTCCCGGACGTCCGCGCCGAGAGAGAGACTTCCACATTATCTAATGTATCCACCTCTTTGAATAACACAAAAAATATACTGATTTTAAGAGATCATACAAAAGAAGAAAAAAAACAATAAAATTCTGCGCCCACTTATTAGGAAATAATATAAATAATCTTAACATTAATCAACTTTAACTAGCGATAGATACGCGTTTCATGTGAATTCTATAGGCCTATATTTTTGCTGTTTTACTTTTTTTTTAATTATAAAATATATATTGTCAAAATGTGATTTACTACACGATATTGATGACAAACCAAATAAATAACTAAACAGCTTAACATTCGACACATTTGAATTACCCCCATAGGCTTCCAAAACCTATTTAAAAAATTAAAACCAAATTATGTACATTATTGGTCACCTCAACACCATATTAAGAGCACACACTGATTCAGAGACTTAAATGATTTCGTTAAAACCCCGACTGTTAAATGATCATTGTGTTGTTTTTTTAATAATTTGTATTAGTTTGATCGAGAAACATAATATTATAAAAAAAATCCGCATTTTTAAGTTCTCCATATACCACTAAAAATACAGATAACATAGCCTTCGAACATGCGGACAGAGACAGAGAGAGAGAGAAAGGGAGAAATGCGAAGATTGGGGTTCATATAATAGGATTATGAGCCTTAACATATAATAATTAATACGGTATGAATAAAAAAAACAAAATCAACTTTAATCAATATTTAGCTTGATTAGAATTTTGTTTTTAAATTACCTCCCATGACATAACAATTTAACATTTGAATTGATTAGTTTTATTCGACACCACTTTTATTAATATGAATCCATTTTTTCTAGGACTATAAGCGAAAATATTATTTGACATTGATCCGTTTAATATGTTTTGGCAATGTATGTGTATATAATATATTTTTTTATGTTCTTTGTTTACGTATGCACTAAAAACTTTGCCGAGTATAAAAAGATTTATTGCCTTTTGAAAATAGCCTACTACACAATCCTTGGTACAGCGCTTGAAGCTAAACACGCCCCCCACCGCCCCATTTCTACCCACCGCTGAAAAAAAGTGTGAAGATCCAATGAGCCAATGATTACCAATGTTCATTCAACCGTGATTAACACATACGTGTAGATAGGGTCTAGTACAGGTGAATGCTTATCAGCTATCCCTTCTAGTATTTACATAAGCTGCTAGCAAATCCTACACGGATAGATGGGCATACACATTAACACATTATGTGTCGTTTACAGTCCGATGAATGCATTTAAACCTATCACAGCAAGCTGTATTAAGATTATACACTGTTGGTTGAATAGCGAGAAGGGGATGAAGGGGATGGACTTAGTACATTCTTTAATCTGACAGACTTGTCCATTGTTTTAGCTTAGTATAAATCGCACTAAACAGTGTTTCATAGTATTCCAATGACAATCAACAGTATATTTCTTGGCAAAGTTTCAATTATTAAACTTTGCGTTATTGTATAATTTTAAAACAACAAATAGAAGAGTGTATGCAAATAATGTAAACAAACGAAGACAGGCGATTGTTTTGTTTATCTAGAAACAATATGGCTGCCTCGCACACCTGGTCAATTGCAACCAATCGTGGATTATTTTGATTTACGTTGGCTGTAGAGGTTGGAAACGATCAGGTTAGATAGCTACATGGTGTTACTATTAGAATTAGTGTTAAACCCATACTAGTAGAAATATTTTAACCTGTCAAAAACATGTGTTGTGTTTGGCCTTAATAGCAACGTATATATCTAACCGGTTATTAATACTGCTAGATGTAGCATTGTTTTTTCGATAGTTAGCAAGTCTGCGTCATTGTGTAATACATTCTTTCACATCTTAACCCCCCTCCCTTCTTGTTAGTATTTATTAATTTGCACTTAAAGATAATTAAACTCTAATTTATCATTAATTCAAGTGGAAAAAGTATTTTTCTTCTATTTTTTGTTCACTTGTTTACCTTGGTGTCGATCCCTCAAAAGTTTCACCCTGGTGCCGTACTCACCTACCCCCCCCCCAATTGCCTTCCCCCTTATGACGCATCTGCCGGTAGTCCCATTTTGTAATTAAACTGATTTCCATCTATCATAGTTCTACCCGTGGTCTTAAGTCCTGTTGCCGCTAAGCTGTCGTTTGTCAATTCACAACGCAAAATGTTCGTAACGTAACTTCAAAGGAAGTAAATGAAATAAATCGTATAGTAATATAAAGTGTAAGCGGTAGCTTACTAAATATGTCAGCTATAAATATAGACATTTATTATGCTGTAGTTTTTAATGCGGTAATTTAGTTTTACCTCTAATTTTGACTGATGAAAGACATTACTTATCTTAACTTTGTGACTTTTAGAAAAGAAGAAAATATTTCCACATGCACTAACACATAGAGAACCCTGCCTTACCTGTAAAATTTACCTATATCAGGACTGTCGATATCGTCTGCCAAGAAGTAGGTCACACTGTTGCACGACGGGTATTGCTTATGACGACAGGGAATTCCCCTTCACATCTTGGCACTAGTCACATAAATATTTCAATCTATTTCAGGACTATAAATAGCCCCGATCCTGACACTGTGTATCATACTAGTCTTTTTTACTTTCTCGTATATACGCAGTATAGAGAAAGTCTTGTAATCGTGCAAAAAAAATCGAGATTTTTACAAATCTCGACGTTTTACACCTCACTGATACGGAAAAACATAATTTTTCAATCTTGTCCGTATGTCTGTGTGTCTGTGTGTGTATCTGTCTGTCTGTCTGTCTGTGTGTGTGTCCGTGTGTAAACACGATAACTTGAGTACCGTTACAGCTAGGTTGATGAAATTTCATATATAAGTATTTTTTCAACATCGTAGATCCGTATCAACTTTTGAGCGATTTCCGATAACCGGAAGTGGTACTTTTCTTACTTTGACTTTTTCAAAAACCAATAACTTGAGTACTATTTCAGATATTCTATTTTTAAAACTTTAAGTATTTAAAATGGATTAAAAATCATGTCTGTAGCACGAGTTCCCATCCCCTGTTATTTTATATAAGAATACTAGCCGTCCCGGCCAGGCTCTGCTCTGGCTTCTGTGAAAAACCTTTCTGTTAAAGACCATTACCTGTGTGTTTATTAATCATCAAAAACCCGGCATTGCCCACCCAAACCACAACCAACGAAAACCAAAACAACAAAACGCAAACATAACGCTAACACAATTACAAATACAAACGAAAACAAAAACCTAACAACAAACCCAACCACAACCACAAACACCAATACGAACACAAAGAAAAAAAACGAAAAAGCAAACGAAAACAAACCAAATCCAAACGCAAAGCGAAATTATGCACCATAGCGCTCACAGGAAAGCCCAGAGCGCCAAATTGAACCCTGGTGGGGCGCCGGCGGACGCGCCTGTTTCAATTTAATGAACAATTATAATACTCCAAACTGAACCGTAAAATACTTACAACATTTGCACTTGATCAATCCCCGCTAATTATGTAATTATTATTTTTTTCCCAACACCAAAACAAAGTAATAAAAAGTAAATTCTTTTCCACTAATGCAATGTTTTATAAAGGGAAGTAATTGTGTTTTCCTAATTTATCAAAGGGAAGTAAGTGCTAAAGGACTAAATATAAATAATTTTCAGACATAATGAAAATTTTTGTAAAAGATGATATATTTTTTAAATTGTGTTTAATGAACATGCCGACAATTATTACTATCAGCTTCAAAAATGAAAATTATTTCCCAACACTTTCAATAGTAATTTTTTAACTCATAAATTTGAGCACGATAATAATCTAACACTAAAATCCATGGAAGTATGTCCACGACAAACAAACTTATTACATGTTACATACAGAATTAAGCTTTATATATTAGATTCGAGAAAGTTTAGGGGAGATAACTCCCGGTTTATTTATTTATTATGAGACAAAGGCTAGCAACCATATATAGGTACTAGTGTTTGTTGTTTTTATGTTGTTTTCTTTTTTGCGTGTATTGATGATAGAGAATTATCGATTTACTGAGCAAAATAAAATAAGTTGGAACTAACAAGACTTAATTGAACGTTGGTTTGTCTAACACAGTGGTGTAGGCGGGTGGGGTTAGGGGGGTCATAACCCCCCCCCCCCCCATAGACCCCTCGGTATATATATATATATATAAAGTATGAGGGGGGGTGAAAATCGAAAGTTTGTGGAAGGGGTGCAAATGGAAAGTTTGAAGGGGGGCGGGTGCAAATCGAAAGTTTGAGGGGGGGGGGGGTGCAAATTGAAAGTTTGTCCTCGGGTAAAAATTGGACCCCCCCCCCCCCCCACTTGAGACGATCCTGGCTACGCCACTGGTCTAACATTCAATAGTTTGCGACTATTTTATATATAAATATATATATATATATATATATATATATATATATATATATATATATATATATATATATATATATATATTGTAGAACTGCGGATGTTAATTTGCCGTTTTAGAAATTCTTAACTTACGGTTTTTTGTTCGGGTCCGTCCGCGACTTTTACAATTACCAGTTAGTTTTTCTCTTTAGATAAGATTTACATAGAACACGTGCAGTCATTTTTTACCACATGGTCATGCATTTTTCTGCTTCAATGACACTTTTCGTTTTTCTTATTATTATAGTTTTCCAAAATTAGGTTATTAAATCTTGTCAACACACTTCGATTATGTCCTAATTTTAAATCGCATAATCTAGATAAGCACCAGTATAGTTTAAAATAACAATACAACACTTAGTAAGAAATTATTTGAATTAGAAAAAAATGAAATGGAGCTATTGCATAAACTTGTATGGAAGTAGAATACCTGGCCAACGGAGAGATTAATCATGTTTTGCCATGCTTTTTGTTAATCTCGCTCATTGATGTCGTGAGCAGAGAATGGTAAGTGTAATGTGGAAAGGTGCACGAACCTGTATAGAATAATGTATGCCGTCAACCAGTGGCGTAGCTAGGATTTTTGGGTTCCTATGCAAAAAGTGTAAGTGGGGCCCCTCAGAGGTGTAGTGACCCTTCCCGGCGACCGGGGACAAACTTTCGATTTGCACCTCCCCCCCTTCAGACTGTTGATTTGCACCCCCCCCTCAGACTTTCGATTTGCAGTCCCGCCCCTCAAACTTGCTTAGGCTAGCTTTACGGTAGCTACGCCACTGCCGTCACCATGTCACTCTGTTCGTAGACTGTTCTTATACTATTTCAACTATTCTTTATTGTTTAATTGTCTCAACTCAAAGATGTGGACATATGTAAAATAAAGTTATAATGTTCAGCAAATACGTGTACTGTCATATAGTCGTTCTACATACAGGGAAGGAATCTATATATTCATGATAATACACGGCACGAACATTCTCATACAGGGAATAAATCAATAGATTTGTGATGCAATTATATCTGTTTATTAAATAACGTTAATAATTAAAACACAAAAAATTTGTAAAATTTAATGTTTAGTAGTGTATAGTAAGTTTAATAGATATACAATTCATAATATTTCATGTTTCTGCCTTCTAATAATGTACTTTAATAAAAGAAATGCAACACGTTTTCAAAATAAAATAGAATACAAGTCAAAAACCAATTGTAGTGATTACTATCTGCAATGCTAAAATTAAACGATTAAAATACAAATATAAATATAAAATTCATTTTGATAAAAGCTATTTCTAAAAAGAAAATCAAACGCGAAATCAATTAACAACTTTAAAAAAAAACAACTATAATCTTCTTTGAATAATATATAAAATTACTGTGTTAACAACAAAATAATTTATTTTTTCCAAATATGAATTCCTTGTTTTCACTTTTATAAGATAAATTAAAAATTAATATATCTCAGTGGATAACTAAACATTGATACGTAATGAGCTAGTAATGTCATAAGCTTAATAATAATAGTGAAGTACAAAAAGGAAAGAAAATGTGTTCTGAAGACTCTCAGTTGATATGCATTAAATTTCCGGTAAAATCTTCAAGCCGACTCGGCACACTCCGCTCCCTGTGCGTCCCGAGTAAGCGGCGCCATACACCACCCCGTTGATGCCAAGGTAAAGGTCATAGTTGACCGCACCCTCACACTGCCACTGACCTTTCAGGCCGTAGAGGCCAGGGCTTGAGAAGTAGTTGGTCGTGGTGACGTCATCGTCAAATATCCAGGTCACGTGACTGTCACCGGCAACCAGTGTCACACGGTTGCTGTTAAACAAAGGCGGAATGAACTATTAATAGTCTCACCAGCTTGTGGATAAAAATAGCATTAGTATGATGTCCAGAAAAAACAAGGGGAATAACTAAGTCAGTCATGAGCTCAAGTCTAATTAAAGAATTGCCCACCATTGTTTTTAATTGAACGAAGTAAACAGAGTTTAAAATTAATCTGTCATCTGTATACCTACAGGAGTGAGGAAAATAAACATTACAGTTGTTTATGTTTAATATACCTCAGTTGTTTATTATCTTAAATAAAACCACGAACTGTCAAAGATCGTTGTAATCGATGTCACAATGTATAATTAATAACATACATAGCTAATTACTATATGTAAGTCTGATGCAAGAAAGAATAATATTTTTTGTTACCACAGTCGCAGTTAATTATATTGTGTTGCAATATTTACATGTGACGTATGTTAATTAATCTTCATTTCCTTTTTGTTCCCCAAACACATGGGGCCGCCACACAAAAAGGACATTCCACTTTTGTCAATCACCGGCAATCTTTGTGGAAGATTCACATGACAGTCCAACCTCTGTCAGCTGCTTCCCCGCCGTGTGATATATTAACTATTCTCTCGTAACTATAGTAACTAAGAAAAGATGGACTAAAAAGTTGAGATCGAGGATCGGATGTAAAGGAAACCAGGGTTTTTTTCAGGCATAAATGTTAAACTTAAGGTGGGGAGTGCACTCTTAAAATTTCATAGGGTGGTGGGTAGAATTTCGGAACCTGTTTAAAGTATGAACTTTCTATCTATATTTTTTTAGTATTTCGTGGGGGAGAGCAGTAGACGTGCTCCTATCTCCCCCTCGCTCCCCCCCCCCCCCCCATTAAGCGATGCGAGAGAGAAATTCAGTGGCGTTACTAGGTCCTACCATTTCCACCAATTTAGCATTTTCGGATTTAGTCCCTCTTCCCTATTATATTATTATAAACTGCATCAGTCATTGTATCGCAGTGGCGTAGCGAGGTCGGGTGTCACCCGGTGCGGCACGTAATGGTGTCACCCCCCAGAGGCGTAGTGACCCTTCCCGGGGACAAACTTTCAAATTTTCGATTTGCACCTCCCCCCCTTCAAACTTCCGATTTGCGCCCCCCCCCCCCCTCAAACTTTCGATTTGCACCCCCCTTCCTCAAGTTTTTCTCTATATATTTTGCTATTTTTTGCCTTTGTGTCACCTCCCTAAATGGTGTCACCCGGTGCGGTCCGCACCCCCGCCCCCCCCCCCCCCCTTGCTACGCCTCTGTAAAATGTATCGTTAAAATTTACGACTTGTTTCTTTGGTCAAACTGTAACATTGGTTGTTATTTATATTAGTTAATAATTAGATATATTGTTGGGTATATAAGTTGGAAGTTTTTTTTTTTATCAGTAATGTAACTGTTGATAAATAAGAAAAAAATAAAAACGAAACTACACACATATTTAGGGGGAAAGTATAATATTACGACAAGATATTTTAAAAGCTTACTTATTATATATATATATATATATATATATATATATATATATATATATATATATATATATATGTGTGTGTGTGTGTGTGTATATGTGTATGAGGGTGTGTGAGTATATTGTGTATTGTTATCTGTGTCTATGTGATTCATCTATCCGTCGTCTGAATGTATTATGATACTTTGTTTCTACCTTGTCTTTTAGCGCAAAAGTTTTCCATCATTTACATAAAGTTTCCTTACGTAAACTTGTTGGGCAAGCTAAACGCCAGTCCACTGCCGCCGTTATCGCTGTTGTAGGCCGATAAAAATCCGTTTAAGCCTTGTACCTCAGCGTCTGAGCTTTGTGTCATCGAGTCTCCAGCTAGATTAAAATTACAATAGATGACATAAGCTTTGTGTCATATAGTCTTCAGCTAGATTAAAATTACTATAGATGACATAAGCTTTGTGTCATTATAGTCTTCAGCTAGATTAAAATTACAATTGATGACATAAGCTTTGTGTCATCAAGTCTCCAGCTAGATTTAAAGTACAATTGATGACATAAGCTTTGTGTCATTGAATGTCTAGCTAGAGCAAAAGTACAATAGTTGACATAAGCTTTGTGTCATCAAGTCTCCAGCTAGATTTAAAGCACAAAATGCGGCATCAGCTTCAAAGTACAGTCGATGTTTGGATGCATACAATGTTTTCTTGTACGAGCTTTGATACTAACTGTTGTTTTAATTATACACCCAGCTGAATGAATGCCTATTTTTTTTAAAATTGTGAATGATACTTAATAAAATTCTAAAATGACTAAAATGTAATCATGTAATATAATAAAGTAATTTTTAAAATGTTTTTACTTGGTGGCCTATCAAACACTAACTGAAAGAAACTTTTTTCCGTAATTCTACGAATTGTTTTGATAACTTTGGTGATTAAAACCAATAGAAAACTAGTATTATTATTAAATGTAATTCTTTTGAATTGAAATTACTGATAATATTAAACAAGGGAAAAAAATTTCGTGATTTGATTGTACTAAAGTTTTTTTTTTCGGGGTTATTAGATGAGTTGATTTTGTTTATTTTTCCTAATTTACTATAAATAAAAAAAAAGTACATGTTTACAGTGGCTAATTTAAATAAAATAAATCTCACAAAAAATTTACCGTAGCCGTTGTTGGTGTCTGAGTCTCCTAGGTCAAAAAGCCAGCCTGTGGGGGACGTCATTTCCATGTCGACCAACACCCGCTTCTTCTGAACGTCATCCTTTGACAGCATTATTTTGAGAACCCCTGGAAATATTTCCAACATGCAGAACACGACAGTTGGCGTGAATTATATTTCTATACACCCCCTCCTCCCCCCCCCCCAAGAAATGAAATATATATTTATAAAATATATACTTTTAACAGTGTCCACCCCCATGGAAATTTGAAACCGTCCCCCCCCCCTAACATTTCAATTGCGCCTCCCCCCCCCCCCCAGGAGAAAAAAATCTGAAAGAAACACTGTGGCTATGTAGGTGTATTTGTATAACGTATGCACATCTGTATCTACCAACTGTACTGCATCCAGACCCAGTGAATGGAACATGCACGACAACACTCTCGTTTTCTTTCTTGTCACCAGTTTCAAAGTCGTAGAACGCGTCATAGTCGTCTTTGGTAAACTGCTGTTGAGCGAGGATAGCACAGTTGGGTTAGGCATCGTTTAGAATAACATGGTGAAATATGCATGGATTATTTCATTGTGAAACAAGGCGAAATATAATTGCATGATTTAAACACAAATTCAGGAGGAAATAATATAAATGGGTTTTACATTTGAATGATAGTTACACAAAATGTTCTCTTGTAGATTCAATAGGTTAATTTAAGAAAAAAAACATAGAGTGTTCGATAGCGAGTAAAGACTGAAATTATTACTTCAGAAAATTAAGTTAAATATTCTTTCATGTTTAATATAATATCCTTGGCCACTTGCAATAGAACCTACCTTGGCTGAGGCTACCAGAAACACTAGTGCCAGTGTAACGATCTTAACCAGTAGCAAAATCTCCATGGTTTCCCTCGTTCACTGATCCAATGCTGCAAACGGCCGTTTATAAAGCATGTATTGTGTTCCGGTTGTCACTGTTTACATACATACAGGTTTCATCTACGTAATTAAAATTGCACTAATTATTTTTACTTCCCTGATCCTAGGTAAACACAATTATTTTGAGACGCCATTTTTTTAAAAATATTTTAAATATTGTATATGAACGGAAAGGGGGGGGGGGGCAGTGCCTGGGTTTTCTTGGGTTTAAAATAGGATCAGGATTAACAAACAGGAACCAAATAAGTGGACGAAAAAAAAGCATGTTTATTATGAGCATATGAAGAAAAAAAATTAACATTACAGTAAACTTTCTATTTATCGGAATTATGTATAACAATGCGCAGTTTTTAAAGGGAACAACAAGATACTATATGTGTGAGGCAAAAATATCACATTCTCTTTTTTGTGCCCAAGACACACGGGGACGCCCTTAAAATGATCTTGTTTAAATGTAGATATTATATTTAATATAAATTGCAAATAAAAATCTAACCTATTTTTTTTTTAAACTATAACGCTCACACATTTGATAAATGATTTAAAACTAGTGTATTTTAAATTGGATATTATCAATAGTTCAATTTGGCTTTATTAAAGAAGAACTAAAATTCAAACAAAGTAGTGTTAAAAATGAATGTTTAATAGATGTGTAAAATGACCACATGTAAATGATTATAACAAATACAACAAAAAGCATATAATTACTCGTTTTCAAATAAAAATTTCTTGACCTTAGTGTCCAAGAGTTAGTAGTTATGAATGAAATAACGGCGACAAGATCGTTATATTTTTATGGCTATTGAGTAAGAATTAATGTTCTATTACTTCTTTTTCTTCGTTCTTAATTGTCCCCAGCCATCTAGCCACATCTGCCTGGTGTGTGTGTGGGGGGGGGTCGAACTCAGGACTTTTCGATTTAGCAACCATGAGCTCTACTACAAACTCAATGTTAAATACGGATCGTGTCGTTCGTGTCAAATGAGTAACGTTTATTATGGTACATCTTTTTATGTATATTGTCGGACCTTAGTGAATTCCAAACAAAATGCAAAAACAAATGTTTGATTTTTTAATCTTTTGATTTCGTCGGTTGTCTCCTATCAATAATTTGCATTAATAGTGACTTAATTTAAAGTATTAGAATTAAGGGAAATTAAGTTATAATAATACAATATGACGATCACAGATACATTTAATCAGAACAAATAGGTGGAAAAATCATTCAAATTTATTTTATTTAAGATCAAATAAACGAGATTTTAGTTTTTTGTCGACACACGAAGGTATAGCGTATATCTTTTCCTCAGGTTTCTCCCCGCTTACAAAACGTCGAAAGTATGAACAGCCTAGTTGGTAAAGAACAAGCCTGAAATAATATAAGAACACATAAGTCAAATTAAAACATTACAAAACAATAAATCATAAACTGCAAATTAGGTTTTACTTAATTCATATATATATATATATATATATATATATATATATATATATATATATATGACACCCAATGTCATAAACACAACTGTAAAAGAAACTTAATAATCTGATTTAGTGATATATGGGAAGTTTTAAAATAAACTATCTTACGGATTGTTAGTAGGATCCATTTCAACTTTGTATCTTCTCCAGTTATCTTCTTTTTCCAAGAACTTCTGACTTAAAGCAGTTTTGAAAACCTTTGGCCATTTTATAACACATTTGTCCACGTCCCATATTTTTCTCTTGCGTTCGTTGTTTTTCTCTATGGTCTTGTGAAGGTCAACGCAGCAAACGTGGTTGAATTTCTCATTGACGTCACAGTACCCGCACCTACACCAGCCTGGTCAAACAAATGACATTAGCACTACTGTATAATTAAGAAAATCAAAACGATCGCTGAAAACTCAAGAAACAAACACAAAATCGAAGAAGGATTTTTTTTAAATTTCTCGGCATTTCTTCATCCTTGTTTTTAGTTTTGGAAGGGATCGAGCCTTATCTGCCAGAGCGTTTGAACTCGAGACGTTGATTTCGATTTTAACAACCTTGAGCTTTGCCGACTCCACCACGCCTCCAACATAATTAAGTATACGTGTCAACCGGTTAAACGTTATTGAGATTATTGACTCCGATTTTTCGATTTGTTTCCATAGCCTTTGTCCAACGAAGAAAAAACTATGTCAGCAGTTGTTTGTTTTTGGCTAACGAGCCTCATCTGCCCGAGGGTTCGAACTCGTGACTTTTCGGTTTGGCTAACATGAGCTTTACCGCCTCGACCACGCTGACTTGATTTAATTTCGGAGGTTGAAAATATTATTCGTATAGAGATACTCCAGTTTGGTCAGTGGCTAAGGCTCAGCAAAGTGAGTGTGGCTTAGATTGAGCTTTGAGGATATCTAAATAAATAATAGCAAACAAAATATTTTTACCAGGCTTTCCTTTTACGGTCTTTGAAAATGCATCGTCTGATTCGTTAAGTTTTCTTTTCTTCACAGCATGGCCTTAAAGAGAAAAAAAAAATTGTCTCGCCAGACTGGGATGTAAAAATACATAATTTTTCTAAATGAATATTAATTATACTTTAAAACATCCATTTGAAACACGTCAATATGTTGACAGGAAATTTTACTTTGTTATTCTTACTTTGACTTTCTTCATCACTTTCTTGGTCTTTGCACGTGACGGCCTCTGTATTAGACGCTAAACAGAAAACGTTATATTATTAGAGTAACATTCAAACTTTAAAACTTCTATTGCAGTTTTTTTTTAATTGTGTTACTTGCTAGTCGCAAAGGTGAAGTTAAAAGGGTACGTTTGTTGGATATACGCATATACATCACTTGCCCTAAGGTACAACTGTGACAGACATAAGACACGACTACTGTCCCAACATTCAAATAACCCGAAAAATATACATTCAAACACATTACGTTATTAATTAACATTGTTTTTTAATAATTTATAAAAAATTTAAAACACACACATTTACAACTTGTATATAGAGCACATTGCAAATGCCCAATTCGACCAACCCACATTCAATTTTCTTTTGTAAACTATTACATTAAGGCGTTTTTTATTCATACAATTTAGATGCTATTATACCAAAGAAAAACAGTATTTATACATATTTAAGCTATTACAACGAAAACGTATACGATCATATAAAGTATAATACAAAGACATGTAGGTCGTATTATATATGCAAATTTAATATATTATATTGATGCTATATCCTTACCCTGGCTTTTTTGTACTGTTACTTCATCGTCACTTTCTGACTCTTCTGAAGTCGGTGCTTTTAAAAATACAATATGAATAACAACTCGTATTTCGTTTAAAATTTACATTACATTTTTTTTTCTATATTAAAACACAAAACCTCAAATAATGTAGTAACTGTTTTAATTGTTCATTATGTTATAAAAGTATATCATTTGTTTATTCGATTTTTTATTGTTTATTTCTCTGTAATAACAGCTAAACAAAAAATAATTGTGGAGCATCAAAATAATATAGTCCGCTATAGCGGAAACGGAAATCCATTAATTAGCTAAAATTATATATCTATACATATCTTCCAAACTAACGAATGATTGCAAAGAATCGTACTTGTCCTACTACAAATTCGTGGTTTTTTAACCTCGACTGGCGTATGAATGATTTTCTTAACAGTCATCAGTATTTTCGTTATAATATGTCATTAAAGTAAGAAAAAAAAGAGATGGTTCTACTTACAGTTAGATGGTGTATATACAGTCTGTAAAGCAGATATTCAACGCTTTTTAAAATGTTGTTTTTAATTTACGAAGTTTTTATAAAATTATATGCAAGAAAATGTGATCATGATTAAAGTCACCGGGTTAACTCTCTTCCCACACAGTGTGTAATATTCAAACACGTAGATCAACGATTAAAATTTTAAAAATAAACTGGATGCTAAAATTTAACTTATAAATTCAATTTTTATTAATTGAATATGTTTAATGACCAAGCATACCTCAAACGTTAAATTATTAAAAGATTAAGATATAATGTAGTTATATTTATTTCTAATATATCTTAAAATTGTGATAGAATTACATACTTGATCGGGGGATGTCATGATATCTTCTTCCGCCATTTCTGAGATTGTAAAAGTAGTATATTATGTTTGTGTTTGTTTTTTTATGATGGCTGTATCTAGACAACAACACTTTAGAGAAAGCGTAGATATAATTGTAATGTCATTTAATCATCTTCCCCTAAACATGGTTGATACATTTATTAGAAAGTATTTTAAACTGAATGAGACCACGATCATAGAGAAAGTAGTTGATGTCACTAAACATTAGAACAATCCCAAAATATCTTAAGTGTCATTAAAATAGCTTAGCCTCTTCAAACTATTATGTGAGAAACAAATATCAGACACTAAAACTGTAATGTCAATTTTCGCTGACCCAACCTTTGCGATCTTCGAATGTTTTCACGAGATCCAACTGGTTAAGGTTTGGGTTGCTGACAGCCCTGATTAAACATTTGAACCAGTCTTTTTTCTTGACCAGTTTGTCATAGATAATTTCATTTACATTCTTCCAGTTCTTCTTCATAAGCTCATCAAATAGCTCCTGTAAATCAATTCGAACCGTTTTAAAGATTTATAATATATATATATATATATATATATATATATATATATATATATATATATATATATATATATATATATATATATATATAAATATATATATATATATATATATATATATATATATATATTACAATGATATAGTTATCATTCACTTTTCATGTGTCGAAACAATCAATAAAACAACAAGTATACAGTAGTAACATAAAATGTAATACAGTTAATAAACAATGTACTTACATAGTCTTCTTGGTAAAATATACCAGCTTCATGTTGCTTGATGTGATTTAAAAAAGACCTGGCGTTAATACGGCGGATAAAAGTTTCCTTAATTTCAAGAATTATCTTGGCGTTCAAAGCTTCATCTATGATGTATAAAAATAAAATCAGCACTAAATATTTTTTTTTAATTTTTATTTTTTAAATTTAACAATTCAAAAATTTTAACAAAAACACATTTTTAAAGGTTATGGATGTTGCAAAATATTCATTTTCTTCTTATGATTGCTTTATTCATTTTATAGTCAGGATCGCATATGTACATAATCTGTTAGCTTGTCTTATATTCATTGACTTATACTGTGCTAATGTTATCTAGCTGAATAAGTCTATATCAAATATCGTTTTCTTAGGATGGCTTAACTGCAATATCCTAAAGATTAGTTTAAACACTTTAGCGAATATAGACACTGTCCGGCGTCCTTTCGTTCCATAACCTACCAATATAAAGTTCAAAGGCGAAACTTAAGTACTCACCTTCATGTTGTGTTGCAGGGTTCTGGAGATCAAAATGTTAAAAATATTCAGTATATTACATTTTGAATACAGAAATTATGTTGTCTAATGGCATAATGTAATGATAAAAACAAATTGTAAATTTAAAATAAAAAATATTTTAACAATTATGAAATTACAATTTTATTATATAAATTGTATCTTGCCTCAAATGACGACTGTTCTTTTGAATTTACTACGCCATCTATAATAAAAATTGTTTTTGATCGGATATTTAAATGCATTTATTAATTGACGCAGAAAAATAAATATATACATTTAGATATTAGGTAATTATATATATATATATATATATATATATATATATATATATATATATATATATATATATATATATATATATATATATATCGTGCGGCGTCAATTCGGCCAATGACGAAACAGCCCCGTCAAAACGACCCCGACAAAACGACCCCGTCAAAACGACCCCGTCAAATCGGCCCCGTCAAAAGGGCCAGCGACATATGGACCCCGTCATATAGGCTCCCGACAAATAGGCTCCCGTCATTTAGGCTACCGACAAATAGGCTCCCGTTATATAGGCTCCCGACAAAAGGGCTCCAGTCAATAAGGCTCCTGACAAATAGGCTCCCGCCATTTAGTTTCTCCACAAAACGGCCCCCGTCATTACGACTCCCGACAAATAGGCTAGCGTCATTTTGGCTCCCGACAAAAAGGCTCCTGTCAATTTGGCTCCAGACAAAAGGACCACTGACACAGTGGCGTAGCTACCGTAAAGCTAGCGTAAACAATGCATGGGGGCCCAAGGCACATAGGGGCCCTTTTCGCTCATAAAAAATTAAAACTTTTACAATGGAATTTTAATGTTTGTTACATATAAATAATTTAAAAAAAGAAAAAGGTTAAAAGTTCCAAAAAGCAGTGGGATTCAGTGTTTGTGGGTCAAACAGAGCCCAATCGTTATAATAACACTACAGGCTATATCACTTTGTCGTGCAAGACATTGAGAGAATCAGCCTATAAATAAACTTTTTAGGAGTAGTAGGCAAACATAATAATATAGTATAAATACAAAATCAGGACATATAAGATACAAAATGTTGCCTTCAGAATATTTATATATTAAAAAATATCCATCGTAAGTAGAAGTTGATCTCTTCGTTTAACTCCTCTGTAGCCTAACGCAGAGGCGTAGCGAAGGCGAGGCGGGGGGTGCGGACCGCAACGGGTGACACCATTTAGGGGGGGGGGTGACAACAAAGGCAAAAAATTGTAAAATTTATAGAATGAAATGCCATTTTCCAGATCCATTAGTTACAGTTAAATAGTCTTCTAAGTACAAATCGAAAATTATATCAAGAGGGGGGGGGGGGGGGTGTGACACCATGACGTAAACGTAAACTATAAAGAAAACAATGCTACATCCAACTGTATTATAAACAGACTGTAGATAAACATCGTTACTATTAAGTCAGCAGTGATTAAAGCTTAAACACGTACGTGTACCAGTATGTGGCATATATATATAAATTTTAGGCCTATGTAGGCCGACACACACACACACACACACACACACATATATATATATATATATATATATATATATATATATATATATATATATATATATATATATATATATATATATATATATATGCTTTGTTTCCTGGGAGGGGGTGACAATACGAAGTGCCGCACCGGGTGAGACCCAACCTAGCGACGCCACTGGCCTAACGGCTGACGATAATTTTTGCATAGGGGCCCAAAAATCCTAGCTACGCCACTGCACTGACAATACCGTTTCTGTAGAGACTAAGTCTCCCGGCAAAGTGTTCTCATTGAATATGACATCTGCCAGTGGGACCCCTTCATCAATATTCTTTAAAGTTAGCCTATCCAACACTCTTATGTAATACAACGTATGCATATCTTGTTCGGCAGGCCTTATTTTTATATTAGTTTATCTATTATAAAATATAGTATGTTTTAATTTAAGGGTCATCTATCTATGACATCCATAATTGAGTCGGTTATAGGCTGTTCCAACTCATTGTGTGGGGAGAAGGGTCCACGCTGTACCTTCCTAACTGCAATATGCTTGTACAGGGGCGTAGCGAAGGGGGGGGGGGGGGGGGGTGGGAGGTGCGGACCGCACCGGGTGACACCATTTAGGGGGGTGACACAAAGGCAAAAAATAGCAAAATATATAGAGAAAAAGTTGAGGGGGTGGGGGTGCAAATCGAAAGTTTGGGGGGGGGGGTGCAAATCGAAAACTTGAAAGTTTGTCCCCGGGAAGGGTCGCAACGCCTCTTGGGGGGGGGGGGGGGTAACACCATTAAGTGCCGCACCGGGTGACACCCGACCTCGCTACGCCACTGTGCTTGTAGGTTATCAAAACAAAATGGTGTTATCATGTTAACATCATGTATATCATACATTTACACTTCTGTGCTCGCTTTTAAGCAACAGATCTTTTCTGTTGTAAATTAAACATTATCAAAACTTTAGAATTGGTGGAATTTAGCTGTTAAGGGCTCGATTTATTTGTGAATTAATGTTGGTTCATGAAAAAATAATTTCATTCGGGCATTAAAAAGAGGTTATGGTGGTATTGGAGGTAGGACACAATGGTTACTTTTATGCCAATAGTGGTCATATCATTCATTTTTCTGGAGCCAATATGTCAGGAGTCATTTTGTCAAAAGCCAATATGTCGGGAGCCCATTTGTCGGTAGCCAAAATGTCGTGAGCCCATTTACCGGGAGCCCATTTGTCTTGAGCCCTTATGTCGGGAGCCTATATGTCGGGGGCCGCTTTGTCGGGAGCCAATATGTCCTGAGCCTATTTGTCAGGGGTTAATATGTCGGGAGTCCATTTGTCGGGAGCCTAAATGTCGGGAGCCCATTTGTCGGGAGCCTATATGTCGCAAGTCAATATGACGGGAGCCCATTTGACGGGAGCCAATAAGTCGGGGCCCTTTTGACGGGGCTATTTTGACGGGGTCGGTTTGTCGGGAGTCGATTTGACGGGGTCGTATTAACGGGTCCGTTTTGACGGGGTCGATTTGTCCCGGGCCGTTTTGACAGGGCACCATATATATATATATATATATATATATATATATATATATATATATATATAAGTATTCAGAAAGATAGATTAGTATACCTCTTAGATCAGAAAATGTTTGAACCAGATGTGACAGATGAAGGTTCGCATCACTAACAGCTCGAATCAGACAGTCAAACCAGTCCATGTACTTGACCAGTGTGTCAAATATCTCTTCGTTTACATTTCTAGCGTCTTGGAACATCAGCATATCAAAATATTCCTTCATGGAAAAAAAAAATAAACGATAAATCTCGTTTCTCACAATGTTTGGGCTATACATATTTTTACCTTTTTACCAATCGTTTCCTTGTTCAATCCTACAGTATTCTCTTTTCTCTACTTGGCATAATTGTCTCATCTAAAGCTACGTCATCTCATTAACCCAGGATGTCATGAATTATTTCAGGTGTAAGATTAGGAAAAATAGTACAAATATAAAATTTTGGGACGGTATGACCTAGCTATTGAGCGTCAGTAGCATAGCAAGGGGGTGGGGGGGGCGAGGGGGGGGGGGACATATGTCCCCGGGCGCCGACCTTAGGGGGCGCCAAAATGGGTTGGAAAAATAAATTGAAAGGTTGAAGGGGGTGCATATTGAAAGTTTGAGGGGGGGGGGTGAAAATGAAAATTTTGAGGGGAGAGGTGCAAATCGAACGTTTGAGGGGGGGGGGGTGCAAATCGAAAAGTTTGTCCCCGGTCACCGGGAAGGTTCGCTACGCCTTTGTTGTGCGTTAGACTGCTAACCTGAAAGTCTTGAGTTCGAATCTAGATTCAAGTCAAGGGGACGAACCTGGGTCCACCCAGCTCAGATGGGTACCTAACTCTTGTAACGGAAAGTAAACGCGCTGGGCATAGCGCTGACCACTCTACATGCCAAGTTTAGGAAACGTATACACTCTACTACACCTACCCACTGGATCACTCAGTCTAAAGAGAAATCTATACTTTACTTTATAAAAACTTATACTCACGTAATCTTCCTTAGTAAAAAAATTATTTTCTTTTGTTCTCATGTGGCCTAAGAATTTTCGAGCATTGATTTGACTGACAAAAGTTTTTCTCATCGCTGAAGCGATTTTGTCGTTCAGATTGTTCTCCTCTTCAATTCTGGCTTTTGCTTCCGCCATTTTTTGTCTGCATAAATTTACATATGGAACAGTTAGTACAAGCACACGTACAAACACACAAACACACAAACACACACACACACACACATATATATATATATATATATATATATATATATATATATATATATATATATATATATATATATATGCATATGAAATTCAACCATACGTTAAGAAATGTTTGGGTTTTTTTGTTTGTTTAATTAGCCTAGTCACTAAAATGTTAAATAAAGTATCTTGGCAACAAATGTATGTTCAAATTAAGATGAATACCACCAATGGGTTGGGTTTTTATGGTGTGTGATTACCGGCTTAAACTATTTATCAAAAATTTAAAAAAATATACTGCAATCAGCTTTACTTGGTTAGCAAAACAGAAAAGATTGATATATAAGGGTACATCACTTTGATCAAATCGAATACGCCTAGATCTAGCTTTACTTTAGTCCATGCAGGGGCGTAGCGAGGGGGGGGGGGGGCGGGGGGTGCGGACCGCACCGGGTGACACCATTTAGGGGGGTGACACCAAGGCAAAAAATAGCAAAATATATAGAGAAAAACTTGAGGGGGGGGGCTGCAAATCGAAAGTTCGAGGGGGGGGGGTGCAAATCGAAAACTTGAGGGGGGGTGCAAATCGAAAATTTGAAAGTTTGTCCCCGGGAAGGGTCGCTACGCCTCTGGGAGGGTGACACCATTAAGTGCCGCACCGGGTGACACCCGACCTCGCTACGCCACTGAGTCCATGTACTTATTTCTTATGACTTTTGATTAAATTTTCGAAACGCAGTTCTTAATAATCCTCTTATACTGATTTTGGCCTTTAATTTAATTGTTGATTGAGCTGTGTAATCATTAATTTAATTCACAATGTTTATAGGCCTAGCTTCTCCTCTTCAAATAATTAAAGAGCTATTTTTATGTAAATGATTAATATTTAGCATACAATTAAATTCAGCGATATCTTTAAAAAGCGAGTTAGCGTCAAACATACGAACCACACTTAATCTGACACTCTATTTACTGTGTGTGTAGGTTTTAAAAATGTAGGTCAACACGGACCGAGCGGCATACAAGTTAAACACCACCTCTACTAAACTGAAACTGAAAGCACGTTACTGTCGTTTACCAATATTATTTCTATTCAAATTATCGTTTATACGCATTCACAAAAATTTATTACTGTGAGAAATTTGACCAAAAAAATAACAACCATTTATGTTTGGTCGAATTAAAAAAAAAATTCTAACCGTTTGGTCGAATTTAAAAAAAAAAAATTCAAACCGAGCACGATTTTTTAAAACGAATGTTATGAAGTTGTACTGTTCAATTAAAACGTAGCAGTTTAATAATATAACGATATAAATGAATCATATGGTTAAAGATAATATACAAGTATAAAGCTTATATTACTATAGAACCTTACTTTGAAGTTAATGTTGTGAAAGTTACCTTTAACATCTACCGTACAACTACAAGGTTTAGGAATCGGGATCCACCTATATAATCCGAATGGTTATCGGGAAATCCTCGGGTTTTCCCCATGTGTTTGCAATCGATATCCTAGCCATGTCAACTTCTATTTATAGTGACACAGAGATTATAGTAGTTGTGTAGATCAATGAAAATCACGGCGAACTTAATGCATTCATAGATCTGGTAAACAAATGACAGTGATTTGGTGTTTGTTTTTAGTGAATTTATAAGTAACAAAAGACGGTATTGGGTTAAAAGTTGTGAATGAGTGATTCTCCTTATTATTTCTTAATTGTTAAGTGGGAATGGGTTTCTTCCAATACAATTAATTAAAGTATTACATGTCAACATGTTATGCGCAAAATTTAAAGGAAACTCATATTTCAGCCTGCTTTTTCTTTCTGGATTTGCTTCAATAGTCTTTGTCCATTCAAGAACAATCTACAAAGAAGCAGTTTTTTATTTTTTTTATTTTGGGTTTTCTCTCCCTAGTCGGGTATCTGTCCCCAGCCTCATCTGACCGGGGTTCGAACTCTGGACTTTTCGGTTTAGCAAACATGAGCTTTACCAACCCCGCCAGTCCCCAGGGCGGGATTGCATTGAAACTGGTGGTTAAATGTTGCGTTATTGTTGTCAGTAACTGTTATGTGACCAGTGAGTATGTTTACTGCATCAACAATAGATTACATTTATAGTTAGAGAAAGTATTTGTTGCTATTTTTTTTCATTAGTAAATGACAAGCAGACACAATTCGTTTTGTATAATTATAAGGTACTACAGTCACAAATAAACTATCTATTAACTTTACTACTCCGAAAATCACAACAACAAAAAACAACACAACAATTGAAAAATAAACATCACATTAATCGAAATGAATTTTGCTTTAATTTGTGAGTAAAATAAAACAAGATTTAATACAAGATTACCAGTTAACTATTGTGGTAAGCTGCACGAAACAGACAGGGTTTCTTTCAGACATTGTGTTGGGTGTATATAAAACTTCAAGGCTAAAGTATATAGTTTCTATAAAATTGATATTTTTTTATTTCCTGCATGGTATGTGCGAGGGGGAAAGGGAGGGCATTAGACTTGCTATGGGGACACCCCACACCATCCGAGAAATTCCTGCTAGAAAAACTGGACTCAGCTTAGCCCTACGCTGCCGTCTTCTCTTTAATCCACCTGAAGTAGCTGGAGACTTTGGTGTAGAACTCAGCCGTGGCTGAACAGTCGCCCATGTTGCCGATAGCGATACCGTAGGCGTAGTAGCGTCCGTCTGATTCCTTGCAGACCAGTGGTCCGCCTGCGTCCCCCTGGTGAGTACATACTATTAGCTTCCATTGTCTGACGTTATGTCTACTTATGTGTTTTTTTAAAAATAAGTAATGTCGATTTATTAACACACAAAATTGTATTTAAATTTGTTAGATGTCTGGTTAAAAGTTCATGTTCTTGAAGTGTGTGAAGCTTACTAAGATGGCAATAGAAGAAAATTTAGCTGGGAACCGAAAATAGAATTTAAGTGGGAAATTAGTTTTGTAGAAAAGGATATTAAAGAATGATTTTGCAAAAGAAATAATTTTAAAAGAAATATTTAGATTAGTAGAATTTTGTGTAGAAATTTTTTAGTAGCTGTGTTTTGTGGAAAGAGATTTTGAATAGAATATTTGTGTTCTGACAACCCGTTTTATAGCAATTTTTTAAACCAAAATTTACAAAAAAAAGGTTCTGTGGGCTATATAATTGTGTGAAACAGTTCTATATTTAGTAACATACATAGCAATAGCCGTTCCCTCGCGAGCCAGCGCAGAATATTGTTCCGTCAAAATTTGTTTTGTAGATCGACCGGCACGTAGCGTCCGACACGACAGCAACATCAACAGACTTGAGGTTTTTCTCGTTGGAGTTTTGGTTGGCTGTGGACATTAAGGCAGGTTTTATCAGGATAAAGTTTTGGTTGGCTGTGGACATTAAGGCAGGTTGTATCAGGATAAAGTTTTGGTTGGCTGTGGACATTAAGGCAGGTTTTATCAGGATAAAGTTTTGGTTGGCTGTGGACATTAAGGCAGGCTTTACCAGGATAAAGTTTTGGTTGGCTGTGGACAATAAGGCAGGCTTTACCAGGATAAAGTTTTGGTTGGCTGTGGACATTAAGGCAGGTTGTATCAGGATAAAGTTTTGGTTGGCTGTGGACAATAAGGCAGGCTTTACCAGGATAAAGTTTTGGTTGGCTGTGGACAATAAGGTAGGCTTTACCAGGATAAAGTTTTGGTTGGCTGTGGACATTAAGGCAGGTTGTATCAGGATAAAGTTTTGGTTGGCTGTGGACAATAAGGCAGGCTTTACCAGGATAAAGTTTTGGTTGGCTGTGGACATTAAGGCAGGTTGTATCAGGATAAAGTTTTGGTTGGCTGTGGACATTAAGGCAGGTTGTATCAGGATAAAGTTTTGGTTGGCTGTGGACATTAAGGCAGGCTTTATCAGGATAAAGTTTTGGTTGGCTGTGGACATTAAGGCAGGTTGTATCAGGATAAAGTTTTGGTTGGCTGTGGACATTAAGGCAGGTTTTATCAGGATAAAGTTTTGGTTGGCTGTGGACATTAAGGCAGGTTGTATCAGGATAAAGTTTTGGTTGGCTGTGGACATTAAGGCAGGTTGTATCAGGATAAAGTTTTGGTTGGCTGTGGACATTAAGGCAGGCTTTATCAGGATAAAGTTTTGGTTGGCTGTGGACATTAAGGCAGGTTGTATCAGGATAAAGTTTTGGTTGGCTGTGGACATTAAGGCAGGTTGTATCAGGATAAAGTTTTGGTTGGCTGTGGACATAAAGGCAGGTTTTATCAGGATAAAGTTTTGGTTGGCTGTGGACATTAAGGCAGGCTTTACCAGGATAAATTTTTTGTTGGCTGTGGACATTAAGGCAGATTGTATCAGGATAAAGTTTTGGTTGGCTGTGGACATTAAGGCAGGTTGTATCAGGATAAAGTTTTGGTTGGCTGTGGACATTAAGGCAGGCTTTACCAGGATAAAGTTTTGGTTGGCTGTGGACATTAAGGCAGATTGTATCAGGATAAAGTTTTGGTTGGCTGTGGACATTAGGGCAGGTTGTATCAGGATAAAGTTTTGGTTGGCTGTGGACATTAGGGCAGGTTGTATCAGGATAAAGTTTTGGTTGGCTGTGGACATTAGGGCAGGTTGTATCAGGATAAAGTTTTGGTTGGCTGTGGACATTAAGGCAGATTGTATCAGGATAAAGTTTTGGTTGGCTGTGGACATTAGGGCAGGTTGTATCAGGATAAAGTTTTGGTTGGCTGTGGACATTAAGGCAGGTTGTATCAGGATAAAGTTTTGGTTGGCTGTGGACATTAAGGCAGGTTGTATCAGGATAAAGTTTTGGTTGGCTGTGGACATTAGGGCAGGTTGTATCAGGATAAAGTTTTAGAACTGGTTGTGTTATAAATATACGGTTCATTGTTACATCGTGTTGAATTTAACACGGAAATGTAATGGGATAAGTTTACATTGCATGACTCTCCCATAGACTGCTTACTTACACTGTTCAATCGATTGATGGAACTCTCCACTTTTACTTGATGGAAACCCGAATCCCTGCCCATTCAGCCTTAATTAAAGTATGTCTGAAGACCAACACCATCCAGACATACTTACTTGATGAAACCCCCAATCCCAATCCACCTGGCTTTACTTAAAGTAAGTCATTAAACCGTTACCGTCTAGACATACGTTATGAAAGCCCCTAATCCCTCACTACCGAGCCATACCTACTTGATGTAATTCTCAAGACCAACGCCTCCCAGACATACTTCATAAAAGCCCCTAATCCCTCACTATCCAGCTATACTTACTTGATGAAAGCCCCCATCCCATCACCTTACACCGTGATGCCTTCTGTGTAGATTTGGTGCCGTTTGCCAGACAAATTGGTCCGTGGCAAGGGTCAAACTGTATGGGTTCGCTCAGCGTCAGGATAGCGAGGTCGTTGGCTGGGATAGACATGCAGCAATATGTACCGGTGTGAGAAGTCGTAAAATGAATATATTTACTTTCTCGTGTATACGAAGTATAGAGAAAATCTTATAATTGTGCAAAAAAAAAAAATCGAGATTTTTACAAATCTCAACGTTTTACACCTCACTGATACGGAAAAAACATAATTTTGTAATCTTGTCCGTATGTCTCTGTGTGTGTGTGTTTGTCTGTGTGTGTGTAAACACGATAACTTGAGTACCGTTACAGCTAGATTGATGAAATTTTATATATAAGTATTTTATCAAAATCGTAGATTCGTATCAACTTTTGAGCGATTTCCGATAACCGGAAGTGGAACTTATTCTACTTTGAATTTTTCAAAAGCCTATAACTTGAGTACTATTTCAGATAGATAAATGAAATTTCACATGTAAGTAAAGATCTATATCTCTACCTTCTGTCAAATTTTGAGTAATTTCCGTTGACCGGAAGTACTAATTTACGCTATTTCCGATTTCTCAAAAACGCATGTGAGTTTATAAAGTACTAATAATATTCCGCTCTATTATACACATCTTTATTCGGCAATTCTTTTTTATGAGATTCTATGCTATTTTAAAAAGTTTAAGTATTTAAAATGGATTAAAAATCATAACTATATCCCGAGTTACCATACCCTGTTGTTTTATATAAGAATATTCGAGAAAGTTTAGGGGAGATCACTCCCGGTTTATTTTTAAATGATTTAAGTTTATCGTTGGTGAAAACATCCAACCATTTAACAGTCACGTCAGCGTATCCCACCAGCCAACAATAACTTCAACATATTACAAAACCAACAATAACATCAACAGAAAAAACTAACAACAGCTGCAACATTTAGCAGCAACCAACATTAGTTAACATATATGCCACTATCCAACATGGGAAACACACCGGCCGGCGTGGTCGAATGGTAGAGCTGACGACTGCTAACCCCATTGTTTCGAGTTAGGATCCCGGGCTCGAGTTTAAAGGACGTCCCTGAGTCACCCAACTCAAATGGATGGCCTACCTAACTCTCGTTAGGGAACAAAAGACGGCTGGGCATAGTGCTGGCCACATTATCTCATTGTATGTTGACGTTATTGAAAAAGACAAACTCTATTTTATCTGCCGCTTGGGTTCAAACAGAAAAAGATTATGTACATTGGCCTTAACAAAATAGATATATCACAAACCCACATTGGCATCATCACATACATAAGGACAACAAATAGCAAAAAACAAACAACCAGAGACTTGCCACCTCCAGACCTCACCTAGGTAACCCTTGGCAACACCGAAGTCCTCATGCGGTGTCACTAAAGTGACGTATCTGATCGTGGCAGCGTCCAAGCCGTTCTCAAAGTCCAAGACAGAGCTACCTGTGTACACTCTCAGATGTTCTGGTTTGATCCTGTGATAGATGGGTCTGGAGTAAGTGTCTGTCTGCTGTCATTGTCTCGTCTGTTGTTATTGGTAGATGTTATAATTGTATAATTGTGTATGTTGTTGATGTATATGACAAAATTGTGTAATCTGTCATAGTTACGTAAATGCAGGGCGCAAGTGGTAATTATGTCTGCTGAATTGTGTCTCTTATAATTATGAGCCTTTAGCCGTAGCTGCAAATGTGTGATAATTTGATTCTTTCAACTGCTGTAATTGAGGTAGTTGTGGTTGATGTAATTGTTTTTTATGGGTGTGTATCTGCTGAGAGTCTGTATCTGCTTTTAGTTTGTCTGTTGTTAGTTTGTCTGCTGTACTTGAGTTTGGCTACCACGCGGCCATGAAGGAAAAGCTCACGTATATTTGATCCTAGCTATGAAGGAAATGCCCACGTATATTTGATCCTAGCTATGAAGGAAAAGCTCACATATATTTGATCCTAGCTATGAAGGAAAAGCTCAAGTGTATTTGATCCTAGCTATGAAGGAAAAGCTCAAGTGTATTTGATCCTAGCTATGAAGGAAACGCTCACGTATATTTGATCCTAGCTATGAAGGAAAAGCTCAAGTGTATTTGATCCTAGCTATGAAGGAAAAGCTCACGTGTATTTGATCCTAGCTATGAAGGAAAAGCTCACGTATATTTGACCCTAGCTATGAAGGAAAAGCTCACGTATATTTGATCCTAGCTGAGAAGGAAAAGCTCACGTATATTTGATCCTAGCTATGAAGTATTAGCTCACGTGTATTTGATCCTAGCCACACAATGTGCAGCAGTCAGAACGTGAGTCTGGTCTAGGATGGCCCCACCACATTTGTTGTCGTGGTAGATGTCGTGTACTAGCACCATCCAAGGGAACTCACACGCTGAGCTGTAGCTCCCTCCAATGATTCTAAAGTTGTTGGCGATACCGCATTCATCTGCTACAGAATACAAAAACACCAACACGTATTTAGATACCTCAGTTCAAAATGTCAGTTAAATAAAGACAAATAATAATATTATTTTTTTATTTAACTCTTGAAATAAAAACCCGGATCTGAAAATTCTTGTAAAACCTTTTTAATTCTGTGAAACAGAGACATTGAGAATAACTGCCACAAATAAGAAGAAAATACAATCGTAGCATCAGACAGATCATTCGAATACACTGTCATAACGTCGTTCTAAGGCAACGAATAAAGAAACAGACAGCTAAAGACAAAATCCTCAGACAAAATGAAGATTGATCGGCCAGAAACTCAGAAGCCTGCATCTATCACGACAAAACAGGCCCTCACCTACAAAAGGATAGGGCAAAAGGAAATAAAGGCCTGTCAAGGAAGACCTTTAGATGTTACCTGGAAGATTTGATACACCTAGGGACAATTGAAGAGACTAGCCTATTTCTATAGACGTCACTCAATGCTATACTTTAAAGTTATATATTTTTCTATCAGGTAAAATTAACTAAAATAAAAACAAGAGTTTTTTGTTAAAATCAATACCAATCACTCGAATAATGTTAGTTTGTATACGTTAAGATAAAGTTGGTGTTTGTTGTATCAATGTTTCAAAGTTATCGCAAAAACAATATCATTGCAGGATATAAGCTTTGTTGTTTGATGAATGACAGATATTTCACAGAGCAACAGTCTAATTCCGACATAGATACTATTTGCCAGTGTCAGTTAGCTACCAAGTATAACTCACAACCATCTAGTCCCGAGGCAAGTGACAGCAACAGAAAGGCCACAAACAATTCCATATCACAGAGTGATGTTGTACTAGCGTTCTTTCAATTCTTGAAAATAACAACAGAAACACCAGGTATAAATGTGAATGTGTTTTCCGGTCTGACCACTGGAATGAGGTTGTTCGCTAGGCATTTGCCTTATTTAGCAAAGAACACGACAGCCTTTTACTGTGTGAAATCAACATTTGCTTTTGGTGTTTTATTTGCAGAAATGTGACGCCCACACAAAGTGTGAAGTAGCAACAACAGATGTTACGTCACATACTTGTACTGGACATATGCCCGCTAGGCGATACTAACTCGGCAATACCAGCCCGGCGATACCTACCAGGCGATACTAACGTGGCGATACCAACTCGACGATACCAAATATATGTACAGGATAGAGAACAATGAAGAAGATCGAAAGGTATACCCAGTCATGCTATGCAAAAACTAGAAAAGGTATTTTTTTTCAGTTTAGTATAAACAAGAAAATAACTTTTAATTGAAATGGAAACAACAGCTTTGGAAACATCTTTATTTAAATAAAATTATTAAATTTTACATTTTAACTTAAAATTTAATTTAATTTATTTTGCCTCAATGACATTTTTTCTGTTTTGGTCGAAATCCAGTTTCTACGTTGACAGTGTACCAATTTTCGACCATACACTGGACGACGTTATTCCAACGTGTTCTCTACTATCCAACGGTTTTTATGTTGTAAGGTTACGTGGCTTGAACGATCTTGCTTCAATAAATGAGCACAACATAATTTCTTATTATAAATGTTCATGTAAAAATATTTAGCCTCAAATATAACCTAAAGAGGTCCAAGACATATCTTGCTTCTGTAATTCAAAATTTTAAATACGCAAAAGTTTTTTGTGTGCTTTTTAAAAATGCATAAATGAAATTATTATATATTTTGTGCTTAAAAAGTGCATGTTTAAATTCGTAGTTATTTTATTCTTGTTAAAATTGCATATGTAAATTAGTAAATACTTTGTCATTTTGGCTACCATCCAGTTGCGCGTGAAGCATATACCAGCTGCACCTCACGGACCGGCCGACGTTGTTCACACGCAACCTAACTACAACACAACAGTCTCGTGTTCTCCATGGTGTCACATTAGATGGCTTGTGGGGTATTGTATGAATACATGAGCACAAATCAATCTCAGCCAGGAAAACATACGCTTGTCTCTCCATGATTTGAAACTTGTAAATCATCAGCGTGGATAATTAAATGTAATGGATCATTGCTTCAAAGGAACCTGTATACATGCTGAAATGTTAGGCCTCCCATAGCAGCTAATCTAAATTTAAGGCTTGAAGTAAAGATTCCTCTTTAGACCTAGCGATCCATTGGACACATGATGTAGAGTTGATATTATGTTTCTTGACCTCGGTATATGAAAGGTTGATGTGGTCAGCACTATGCCCAGCCGTCTTTACTTTCCCTTTAACAATCATTTTATATCATCTGTAGCGCTCAACACAGATGCTGATTACACAATCAGTGAGGAGATTAAAAATTTTTGTAATTCTGCTCACCGTGGTAGGACAGAGCTGATCATTCCGCTTCTCACTGTTCATGAAGTATATGTTAGCCTAAGATCTCTTAAACCGTCTTCAACAACTTCGTTTGATGTTATTTCTAATAATGTATTGAAGATTTCAGCTCCAATAATTTCCGAAGTTTTAACCTATGTCTATAACCTCTGTATTGCCAAGCATTATTACCCGACACATTTTAAGCATGCTAAGGTTATACCACTACACAAAAAAGGTAACATCCAAGATGCTAATAACTACAGGCCAATTTCTATACTTTCTTCCCTCTCCAAGCCACTAGAAATACATATAAACAAATGCATTTCAAATTACCTAGAAAAGCTCAAGCTTTTCCATAGTAATCAGTCTGGGTTTAGAAAGTTTCATTCTTGTCACACTGCTCTGATTAAGATGAATGAAAACTGGCTTAAAAATATTAACAAAAACCTACTCTGTGGCTCGCTGTTTGTCGATTTCAGAAAAGCCTTTGATTCTATTGATCACACCATACTTCTTAAAAAACTAATTCCATACAAATTCCACGACTTTACAGTTAGGTTACTTCACTCCTTTTTATCTAACCGATCTCAACGCGTGTTTCACCTCAATACCATCTCTTCACAGAAATATGTTAATATAGGGGTTCCACAGGGCTCAATCTTAGGTCCTTTACTTTTTTCTTTATACATTAATGATCTTCCATTACATATTGACGCTGGTCAGTGCGAGATGTTCGCTGATGATACTTCTTTGCATGTCTTTGCAGACAGTGCTGAGTCACTCAGTTACAAACTTCAAACATGTGCCAATCAGCTTGCTACTTGGACAAAATTTAACAAAATGAAACTTCACCCCGATAAAACCAAGTCAATGTTTATTACAACTCATCAGAAACGCCTTCGTCTTCCATCCACCGCATTAAACATTACTATAGACAATTCAAACATTGAACAGGTAGACAGTTACAAATGCCTAGGATTGTTTATAGATCACAACCTCACTTGGTCTGACCATATTCATTTTCTAAGAATGTCCTTATTAAAGACAACCTTTCAATTAGCAAGGATAAAAAACTTTCTCAACTAAAGGAGCAGGCTGGTTTTTTATGAGGCTTTTATTCCATCCAGGTTGGATTATGCTTCTGTAGTGTGGAGCGGCAGCTTTATAACTAAGCAGCGTCCTCTTCTTTCTTTACAAAAAAGGGCTATAAAACTGGTTACTGGCTTGTCTAGTAGTCTGGATTCTTTTCTTACAACTAAAATACTTCCATTAAATAAAAAGATAATATATACTAAATCAATTTTCTTATATAAAATATTCCACGAAACAGCCCCCTCTTACTTATCAGATCTATTTTCTTTTAACATAAAATTAAATCGTCGTCTTAATTTACCATTCCCTTATTCAACCATTTTCCAAAAACATAGCTCCGCCTACTCTGGTTCTAATTTGTGGAACAATCTTCCTAATAAAATAAAGCTATCTAGATCTGAAAATATAATTATTCAAATCTAAACTAAAACTAAAATTATTTAATGACCTAACTGACTCATTGTAACATTTCTCATTCATCTATTATATTCTCTTTTTTATCTCATTATGTATGATAGCTATGTACCATTGTTTCTTTATTCCACATTTTTAGTGCTATGTGTTACTGCTATGTGTTATTGAATTGTTTTATTTGCTTAAACGGCCAATGTGAAAAAAGGCCTTTGTGCCTACAATTGTAACCGTTGTTTGAATAAATTTGAATAAATTTGAACTTGGTGGACTCAAGGACGTTCCACTGACTTAAACCCTGATTCGATCTCAAGACTAAAGGGTTTACTGTTTACCCCACTTCCCCTAGACTACACCATCCCATACATAAGCTTATTAGTGTGAAAAATTCCAATATTTAAAATAGTTTAATACATTTTTGAAAGTGTTGTTTTTTTTAAAGTAAATACCAATTGTAAATCAGACATTTCGTTTTTAGAGTGTATAAGTGGATGCTTATAAAAACTACTCAGGGCCAGTAAATGGACTTTACATTAACCGTGAAGTCAAGTGTCAAACAGTAACAGACTCGGTTGGTAAAGACTAAATTGACTTTAAAGTATTTTGTTTTAATCTAATTAATTTTCCCAAGCTTATTTTTTAAACATTTATTATCAGGTTTAACTGTGTTAAAATCATAGCTACAAAGCCTTGCATCTTTGCTTTTCATGTGTACACCGCTATATTGTGTTGGTGACTTCGCTTAGAAAACACAAGGGGCGCCCATGTAAATGCTTGTAACTGTTGACATAAAACAGTACTGTCCCTCTTATGGTAAGCCCACCACAGCTTGATAAGTAAATCTTTACAAACTGTTAGTTGCAAATGCTTACATTTTTCAACTACTAAAGGTAAACTGATTTTGTTTGCGCATCAGTTCTTTAATACTATTTCCGTTGATTCTAAAATATAATGCAAAATTGATTATTAAATAGATGTATAAACAACTTTGAAGTTTTAAAATGTTTGCATTTACAAACTATAGGCTTGAAGTGTTTGTTTCGAATGGTGATCACTGGTAATATTACATGATTATATTTTTCAATGTGTTTAAATCAGTTTACTTGTTTTAGCAAAAAAATTTTACATGTTTTGAAATTATTTTCGACATGGCATGTCAATATTCCCATCTCCTGAAATAATTTTTTGTCATTACAGAGCTTTCAGTGCGGAAACATTAAAAATATACGACAAAAATAATAGTGTTTAATTATTCTGTCTTTCGGTATTATGACCGCCATAAATGGTGTGTGCTTATAACCGAATACTAATATTTTCAATACACTATAAAAATATATTTTAATGCCTTCTTCTTTATGAAAAACTACCTGTTGCAACACAGGGCATTTACACTTTTAAACTGTTGAAAAAATGCTTTTCATTTTAGTACTGTGAAAATATATAGATCTACTCCTGTAATCATTCATATTTAAAGTAGGCAGATTTACATGCGGATGATAAACTGTAATAGCTATTTGTTTCAAACAACTTTTGAACTTATGGTTTGATTATATGAAAATAACACTGTAAAGAACGGTTGCAAATGTTATGTTAAAAAATAATTAATTGATTATACTTTATAAGAGGAATTTCTATTTTATTAATTGTTAGTATGAATAAATAAATAAATAAATAAGTGAAATAACATTAAACAAAACTCGTAAACAAAATCGAAAATTTAAATATTTTTTAAAATGTTTTTATTCTTACCAATGATATTTAGTAATTTAATATTAGAGAATTACATTCCTTATTATCTTAAACTAAATAATGTAAAAAAAATTATAATTAAATGCACTGATTAAATGGTAGAAATAATCACAACAAAAATGTGTTTGATCCATTAAAATAACCATGTTTTAACAAAACTACTGATTAGTCTTAACTGGTTTTTTAACCACACAACGTGACTTGAGTTTTTTGATAACACAAGACGGCACAGCGATGGTTTTCTCTGTGGTGAACTGGGCGTTCACAAAGCTTCTAAAATGGCAGCAGCCCAGTCGAAACAGAGCTTTCCTGTGGAGTAGAGAAAAACATGAATTCTACATGCTTTAAATTGGTAGCATCTATCTGCAGATTAGAAATTTAACACCAACACATTGAAACAAAATTTAAAAATATATAAATATAAAAGAATAAATTTAAAGAACTCGACAAATAAGGGCTTCATTTACATCTGTATGCTACATACTATCACATATGCCGTATACATACATTAGTCAATCAATATAATGTCTCTCTCTCTCTCTCACTCTGTATATATACATATATATATATATATATATATATATATATATATATATATATATATATATATATATATATATATATATATTAAAAAAAAAATATATATATATATATATATATATATATATATATGCAAATATGCATATATATAGTTACATTAGATTGATCAACATCTTTCTAATAGCATTCTCAAAACCTTCCCAAAAACAATCAGTGAAGTGATGAAAAGTGTAGTAATGCACAAAAAAATCTCCCCCTCCCCACGCACACATACTTTCACTTTATATATATATATATATATATATATATATATATATATATATATATATATATATATATATATATATATATATATATATAAAGAGAAACGTTATATTGATTGACTAACAAAGTGTTGAATTTTCTCTTTTAAAAGCCCTACACTTACGGATCGTCGGTTGGGTTGGTCTCTAGCTTATACAACCTCCAGTTTGGTTCTCTCTCAAGAAAGGGTCTACTCAGGACACTTTTGGTCAGTTTTGACCACTTGGTCATGCATTTCTCAGCTTCAAGGACTTTTTTCTTTTTCTTATTTTCATAGTTATCCTCAACCAGTTTGTGTAGGTCATAGCAACACACTTCATTTCTGTCTTCATTTAGATCGCAGAATCCACATCGGCACCATTCTGGTATAAATAAACAGTAATTTGATTACAACAACTCATATTTGCTTAGTTAACTTGTTACTTGTATTAACAATGCATTTTAAATTTTAAAAGTGCTACTAGGGTTGAACAAAGAAATTGTAGCGACCAAGCAGAAAAGCTAGCGTTAGCTTTCTGTGCGATATAAACTCCTACCCGGTTTTCCTTGTAATTTCTTTGCAGATGAAGCTTCTTCGTTTTTCTTCACTTTCTTTACAACTGGTTCTGTAGAAGTTATTTTTAACTTAAGTTTTAATTCGCTTTCTATATATATATATATATATATATATATATATATATATATATATATATATATATATATATATATATATACATACATAAATTTCGTTTTTACTAGTCAACAACATTATAGAGGACGTAAAACCATTTTTTTTCAATAATAAAAAAAAAAATATTATTGGCAGCAGATTTAGTCCTGTAAAAGTTGTCCTGTCATTATTTTTATGAAAGAAGTATCTGATATTGAAATTTTTCTAGAAGTTTTTATTTACCACTTGCTTCAGTTGTATTTGTTGCTTTCTTCTTCGCTGGTGTTTCTGTGTTGACGTAAGAAAAATATAGTGTGTAAAAATAGGATCCGTTACTTACATATCCCAAATGCATTTAAAATATTTCTAAAATTATGAGATTAAAGCTATCTAGTATTAACAAATCATCTAAATAAACATCAGTAGTCCCGGTAAATATTTGTTTAGGTTATCGTTTGTTTAAAAAGATGAATCCTTACTTGACGGTCCCGGAGCTTTGGCTGGGTCTCTGTCTGAAGGAGAATCTGCTTTTTGAGCTAAGAAATTATACTCGAAATGAGCGTTTGCTCTTTATAAATTACACAATTTAAATTCTGTTATGAAACATTAAGAAATGTTCTTTGTTATAAAACAAATGATTTATATAATAAAAACCTACAAAAACATAACTTTTGCATCAGAAGATTTACTCACTATGACTCTCTTCTGCATTTATATTTCCCTCTGACTGTGAATCTGCTTGTTGTGCTAAAAATAAAAATATATCTCAAAATGTGTTCAAAATCGTTCATGTCTTTTAACGTGATAATTTAACGTTTTTTAGTTACTCCTGTACGTTTAACTCTAATACAATGATGAATTAAATTAATATTAATTAGTTATTTTCTTGCTCAATTTAGAATTCGTTTAAATCCCAATCGAAATGTAATAGAATTGATTCTGTTTTAGAGCTTTTTTATCCGAATAACCCACACGAGTATAAAAACTTTGATCTATCGGTTATTATGAATGGATGTTTAATCATATGTAAGTATTATGTTTACATTATAAAATAACAAAAATGTGCATTTACTTCAATCTACGCATAGTTGAAATGTAATTTGATGATCAATCAAAACAAAACAACAGGATAATGTAAAATGATTTTAAAAATACAAAATACATACGGATGACGGGTGGAGGAGTAGCCTAGAAAGAAAAAGGTATGTATAATTATCTCCATTTAAATATTATGTAAGACTTTATTTCAAATATAAAAGGTACGATTGTTGCACACTAAAAAACTGTTCACTAAATTAACAAATATTTTTATTGCCAAATTTTATTGGCACCTTTTTAACACTTTAATTTAATGTGATAAATATTTTAAAATTGTATATAAATAGTACCTTTAAAGTCATCTTTTTCTGAACCTCATCTGTAAGATATATATATATATATATATATATATATATATATATATATATATATATATATATATATATATATATATATATAATTTTGTAATAATTTAAGTTTCTTTTTTTATCAAAGAAATTTTTTTAAAAATTCTTTTGTTGAGTAGGCCTACAAGTCTTTAACAAACTCATCTTTAATGCATACACACTTATTTTATAATTTAATCTGCTATAGAGGAAATATACGTTTCTAAAATTTAAAAAAAAAATTCTTTTAACAAAAATCTTTTTGTTTTGTTGAGTATCAGTCTTTAACAAACTCATCATTACTACCATACACAAAAATACACAATTATTTTATCATTTAATCTTCTAACGTGGAAAATACTTTTTAAAAGAACAATTTAACTGTGTACTCATCAGTCCCTTAGTTATTAATTTAAAAAATCAAAATTTATATATTTGTTTATTTGAAACACTATGTATATTATGTTATTTTAGTTATTTTTGAAAACGTTTCATAAATATATAGTTTCAGCTAAAACATTTATTCATTACGCTAATAAGGCTATGTAAATAGCTTTGTCCTTTAAAGAAAATATTAAAATATTAGGAATGTTTGAAAATGTAAAGTTTGTGTAAGCCCTTTTTATGTTCACATTTCTTCTTCTCTTTCAATTAAAGATTAAAAATGGAAAATAATAATTTTAATTTAATTACGCCATTCTACCTTTCAGTGAAAGAAAAGTGCTGACCAGGTCTGTTTGATTCAAAAGTGGGTAACCAACAGCCTTGATTAAGCAGTTGAACCATCCATTGTATTTGATGAGTGTGTCAAAAATTTCTTCGTTTACATTCGTCGATCTTTCTTTACCCACCAAATCAAAATGATTCTGCATGGAAATAAAGTATCATCTTTATTGCTTGTGATATTACAAAATAATGTCATCAAGCTACATTCGTCTGTAATGTTTACCATAAAAGAAAAAAGCATCATATCCAGTATTAATTTGTGTTGATATATAAATATACTTCATCCGATTTATATTCTGTTATTTTATGTAAAATATGATGCAGTGTGGTTTTTTAAAATGAATATACTAAAAGACCAAAATAAACATTTACTGTTGAAGAGTAATTTCAACTTACGTAATCCTCTTTAGTGAAGATACTGCTTTCATACAATTTGGTGTAGTTTAAAAATGGTCTGGCATTTATACGACGGACAAAAGTTTCCTTTACAGCTGAAGCAAGTTCATCATTTAGGAGATTTTCTCGATCTTCACCAGAGAGTTGAAAAAGTATTATATGTAATATATTGATTATGTATCATATGTATTCATTTTATATCTATTTTTCATTTTTTATATCGAAGTTTGTCATTTTTTATAGTTTAAATATGCACTATCTATGGGTTAATACAATCACATAAATACAAATTTTAGAGCACTGAAAATAGATCTAAAATGTTTACATTTAAAAGGTTAATTTAACTATTTCTAATTATTCTGTAAAGTTCAAATGATTTTCTAAAAACTAGATTTTAGACCCTGACAAAATAAAGACCTTAAATGGAGATAAAAAAATATAATTAGCCTACCTTGATTTTGTGAAGCACTTTTTCCATCGCTGTTTGCCGAGGGTCCTGCGTTGGAGGCTTAATTTTTTTTAAATATGTATGTCAAATAGCAAAATCATAACACTACAAAAATATAACCTGCTTAAAGTCAGATCTTTACATTTACGTTTATTTTTACTGTTTTAATTCCGAATAAATGGTCTACGAACGATTATTCAAAATTGGTATTGCATATATGTTCAATTAATACTTATTAAAAACAGATTTAATTTGTAAAAAATATTCTTACCGTTGGTTGAAGATGAGGGGAACTAAAAAGCAGTGATACAAATAAAAGTAGTCACAAAACGGTAATAAAACAGCTAACTTAATATAAATAATACAACACATTTGAAGTAATTTCAATATCTCTCAAAAGTAATTATTGGTTAACTAATCGATTTCTATACATTCACAACGTATTGAACATATACTATGTCAACAGAAAATAATTTTACCTGTGAAGATGATGCACCAAACTGCTTCACTACGCTGTCTTTAAAATGTAGAAAGAAATCCATGATCAGTATGTAGTTTACATATATATATATATATATATATATATATATATATATATATATATATATATATATGGGGGGGTGTGGGTGTGTGGAGGGGGGTGTTTATTCATTTATTTAAAATCGTTTTACACGAAACCCACAGGATCAAAATATGTGTTTGTATTCAAAAGAATTGATATTAAACTACGTGTATTTAAATATGTTTATTTATATACATATTTACGCTCTATTCACTTAGACTGACTTAGAGCATGTATGTCTTTGTTTATTATGCTTACGTTTTTCGTTCCATAAAAATCCGCTTATATTTTACCCTTTTATAAACACATCATTATGCAACATAGCAATATACCTACAAAAGCAAATACCTAATGATCTATGATCTTTACTAACGTAATCAAAGCATAGAAAAAAAGCCATGTAAAAAACCGTTAATTATTCCGTTAAGCAGCTCCATCTTCAGTTCAGCAATAAATGATTGTATTCGTCTCGAGCTCTTGAACCCTTGTACATTTAAAAATAAAGTAGGAGTGATCTCCACTAAACTTTTTCGTTAATTCTTTTTTTACACTAAGTACGTTGGCTCGTTCAGTGCAATCTGGTTACAGAAATGCTTTTTAATAATGTTTTAACAGTTAATTTTTTAAAATAGAATGCAGTAGAACAAAATTTAGCACTGGAAATCGTTCAAAAGTCGATAGAAAACTACAAATTCAAAAGAATACCTATGTATAAAAATTGGCCACCATAACTGAAACGGTAATACCAGAAAGCAAAACATACTTTTTCAGGCTCCAAAAGGTTATAAAATGTTAAAATTTGTCAAAATTTCTATTTAGATCTTTCATGATTACAATGCATCCTTTAATTTCCGAATACAGTACTATGGGGATGTGTAAAACGGCAAAAACTATTAAAAGTCATTACATTTTCTCCTCGATTACAACATTATACTTTTTACAAGAGAAAGTTTAAAAGCTTTTTGTTTTTTCAAACAGCTTACCTTTAAGGTCAATAAAAATTTGGACCAGGTCCGTCTGATTATAAGTAGGATCACTGACAGCTTGTATCAGGCAAGAAAACCAGTCCTTATATTTGATAAGTGTGTCAAAAATGTCTTCATTAATATTCTTTGCTCCGCTAACCATTTGAGCATTGAAATGACTCTGTAACAATTAAAAATGAACTGCTTATATTGATCTATAAATTGAATAACTGACAAAATGTTAAAAGTGTGTGAAAGGAATATTACTTGCACACATTATTCTGCCATTTTTCTATAAGTTATCTTTTTAATAAAAATACAGGCTATAGCTTGGCGCTTTGCTGTATTAAATTTTAAAACAAAATAAGGCTATGATGTGTTAAATGTGGAATTATTGATTCATGGGTCTGTTTTAGTAACCTCAAGGAATTGACAATATGATCTAAAATGTGGCAAAAATCATAACTGAGAAATCCTCTTTGTTAGACAAGCAATTTAGAGTCTAATAGAATCTTATTTCAATCAAGTGAAATACCTTACATATGGTTCAGTTTAGATAAATGTCGATCAGTGACAAGGATTTTCAAATTAGAGGACAAGGCTCGCCTAGCAAGTAAATTATTCATTCCTATGTGTGAATATTAAAACATAATCAAGACTTTTTTTTTACAAGTCGCTTATAAATTGCACTAAAAATGAAAAGAGAAGAAAAATGTTCTTTAAGCACATAATAATGCACCACTGTTTCGATAACTATAAAGAAAATCGTGTAGTCTAAATATAAACTTAGTAACACATAATAAAGCAATCCACACTTTTCTTTATAATTTTTAAGTAGTTTTGCTTTAACATAATAATGCACCACTATTTAAATAACATCAAAGAAAATCGTGTAGCATTAATAAACTTTTAGTTTCACCTAATAAAGCTATCCGAGCTTTTCTCTGTAATTTTATTTAAGTAGTGGTGGATTAATTATTTCTTCATTATAGTGATTATATAACAACTTGTTATCATAAACTTTTATAATAATTTTACTTTTACTTACGTAATCTTCCTTCGTGAAAATGTTAGGTAATTTTGTCCGGGTGTAAAATGTAAATGTCCGGGCATTGATGCGACGAACAAATGTTCCCCGGATAGCTGCAGCGATTTCATCGTTCAGTTTATTCTCATGGTCGACGTTTGCCTTCGATGCCATTGGATTGAGAGACTGAGAAAAGATAATGTATAGCCATTGAAAGGTGTTTTTTTATAGAATAAATTCTGCGCTGGCCCTTAGTAAGTAATAAATACATGGACTCTGTTTGAAGCTCGAAGATATATAGTTTAAAAATTGAGTTGAAGTTGCAAGTTACAATCACCATTCGTAATCATGCGTTTTCATTATTCCGTACTCCCCTATATAGTTTAATAAAATACTATCGTACCAGTCCCTTCGCGTTGCCGCTGTCTCAGAAGAAAGTCTGACGCAAAATTCCATACGGATTTCATCAATGCGTTACAAATCCTACGTTCTTAGATGTGTGACCTTGATTTCCGACACGGAGTTATTTAAATGTAAACAATGCCTGCGCTATATTTCTTGGATCGGATTTGTCGGATCGGGTTACTTACACTTCCGCTTAGCACACCCCATGGCGTGTTGTATGAAAGCCTTGAGTGTACGTTAATCACTCCCCGTAATAGTGAAGTAGAACACAATTCGGTGACTGCCAAGAAGTAAGCGACGTAGAGAGGCGCTCTTGGAGCCCACGATTACACTACAGCAGGTAAGCTGTATTACCCCTGGCTCGGTTTTATCATCAAAAGTCGTATGCCACCGTGTCTATATTGTCAAATAGCACTCTGTCTGGACGCTGGTGTCGCGCCTGATTCAAATTAGTGAACTATAATACCCCGTCCGTATCCATAGTTTACTGTTTATAACAAACCCATCTAAATTGTCAAATAGCACCCTGCAAAAATGTAATATTGATGTAGCGAACGGGGACTAGACTACAGTCACTATTAGACTATTAGAGTTTTGGGAAATACGAATATTAAAAATTCCTTTTATCAAATCGACCAGCTAAGCGGAATCGAAACTGAAACTGAAAGTGGAGGTTGGATTGAAAATGTTTTTACTTATATTACGCTTTAGTGTGATCAAATGTTATCTTTAAATCAATTTTAACCTTATCAACTTTTTATTTTATTTCAAGTGGTTATTATTTAAATTTGTTAGTTTATAGGAAGTAAATTTAATAAAGCGTAAATATGTGTAGATATGAAATATGGCATATACAAAAATTAGTATTTATGTTGCTGCAGTTTGTGATGCTGTAATTAAGGTTGTACTACCTTGTACCTCCTGTTTGTAACTCTTAAAAGACATTAGCAATCTTACCTTTGCGACTTTTAGCAAGGAAGAAAACATTCCCACATGCACTAACACATAGAGAACCCTGCCTCACCTGTAACATACACCTTTATCTGGGCTCCTGATATCGTCCGCCGAGAAGTAGGTCACACTGATGCACGACGGGTATCGATTCTGTGGACAGGGGATTCCCCTTCACATCCTGTCACTAGTCATACGTATATTTTAATCCATATCAGCATTATCAGGATTTTAAATCGACCCAATTCAAATACTGATTATCATACTAGTCTATTTTAATACAATGACATAAAGGACAATAATCATATACACATTAGCTGTTGTTACGTTTTTTGTTTTGCGTTTGTTTTGCATGTTGTGCAGAGGCCTAGCGACCTTTCCCGGTGCCCGGGGACAAACTTTCAATTTGGCGCCCCCCTCCCCATATTTTTTTATATTTATAATGCAAAACTGCAGCTAAAATGAGCTTTTATTTTTTTTCAACCCATTTTGGCGCCCTCTAGGGTCGGCGCCCGGGGACATATATACACCCCCCCCCCGGGTCGGCTCGAGATTGAGGAACCAGATTGAGGAATTTTCACACTGCAATTTCTTGATCTATACTTTGCGAATAAACTCAAGTCTTGAGAATATAATGTTCTCTTTTTCAGCTACTAGGAATATTTAGGTGAACAACTAGACCTGTAAAGACTATATTTTGAGTTTCTTTCTTTTTTTATCTTAACGAAATGAAACTAAAAGTGGAAGACGATTAAGCAGCATTTCTCCTAATTGTCACCAAATATTTTGTTTTCCATTTCATCAAAGTATAAATTTAAATTAGTAGAATGTTTTGTTTTTTTTTAAGGTAAAACTCTATAATTAACACTGGAAAGAAATAATAATTCAATAAAATGATTACATTTTTTTATTAAATATGTTTTAGTTTTCAACTTGTAATTTTGCTATACATTCAATTCATTTATCTTTTATGATTACAACATAAATCATAAAATACAATTTAAACAAGAAAAAAAAGTAGAGTTTTGAAAACGTTTGCACAGTTTATTGTTTTCAATTAGCTTCAGTTTTTTAATAAAATTATATTTCCATATTATATTATATATGTATATATATACATACATATATATATATATATATATATATATATATATATATATATATATATATATATATATATATATATATATATATATATATATATATATATATATATATATATATATGTATATATATATATATATATATATATATATATATATATATATATATATATATATATACTAGCCGTCCCGGCCAGGCCCTGCTCTGGCTTCTGTGAAAAATCTTTCTGTTAAAGACCATTACCTGTGTGTTTAGTAATCATCATAAACCTGGCATTGCCCACCCAAACCACAACCAACCAAAACCAAAACAACAAAACGCAAACATAACGCTAACACAATTAAAAATACAAACGAAAACAAAAACCTAACAACAAACCCAACCACAACCACAAACACCAATACAAACACAAAGAAAAAACAAACAAAAAATCAAACGAAAACAAAAACCTAACAACAAACCCAACCACAACCACAAACACCAATACCAACCAATAACAACACACAAAAAATGAAAAATCAAGCGAAAACAAACCAAATCCAAACGCAAAACCAACCAAAAACACAAATACAAACCCAAAGAAAAAAACACAAACAAAAAAGAAAAAAGAAAGAACAAAAACGAACCAAATCAAACCGCAACCACTAACGCAAAACCAACCTAAACACAAAGAAAACACTAACGCGAACATAAACGCAAAGTGCTCACAGTCTAGCCCGGGGCGGAATCGCATGTTTTAGCTTAATAAACGACTATAGTACCCCAACTTATTCATAGTCTTTTGCACTCACTCGCATGTTTTAGCTTAATAAACGACTATAGTACCCCAACTTATTCATAGTCTTTTGCACTCACTTAAACGAACGCGCCTGTTTCAATTTAATGAACAATTATAATACTCCAAGCTTATCCGTAAAATACCTACAACATTTGCACTTGATCAATCCCCGCTAATTATATAATTATTTTTTTCCCAACACCAAAACAAAGTAATAAAAAGTAAATTCTTTTCCACTAATGCAATGGTTTTATAAAGGGAAGTAATTGTGTTTTCCTAATTTATCAAAGGGAAGTAAGTGCTATAGGACTAAATAAAGACATAATTAGAATTTTTGTAAAAGATGATATTTTTTTTAAACTTGTGTTTAATGAACATGCAGAAAATTATTACTTTCAGTTTGATAAATGCAAATTATTTCCCAAAACTTTCAATATTAATTTTTTAACTCATAAATTTAGACCATAAGGACTTTAATTATCTAACACTTAAATCCATCGAAGATCCACGACAAACATATGTGTTACATACAGAATTGAGCTTTATATATTAGATATATAAATAAATAAATAAATATATATATATATATATATATATATATATATATATATATATATATTCACATGCAACTAATTTGTATATGATCGCTACACACTGATAAAAGCCAGGAATTTAATTCTAGTTTAAGACATTTAAATTTTAAAAAGCTTTGTTATAAGAGAAAAGACACAATTAAACTTATCTTACAAAAGCTTAAAGATAGCATGCTTTATATACTTCACTTTTTTCTATTTTAAATTCATGCAAATAATTAACCATTTTATGTATAGCATCAATCTTTTAGTACAACGTACCATCAATGTGCTAGTCAACATTAAACAGTTTCCACTTTAAACTAGTGAAATAAAAAAAACATTGTAATATATTAAAAATGCAGAGTAAAAAAATGTCGAGGAATGGAAAAGGAAAAGAAATTGATATTATGCTTTGATCTAATGTACACTAAATTTTCTTTAGATGATGTAAACAATATACAAAACATATTTTCACAGTCGAGAAGTTATAACTTTCTGAATAACTTTCTTATGTTGCTGTCAACATCAAGATCATTTACATAATTTAAAGACTTTTATTGTAGAGGGGCGTAATTCGTCTTGTAGAAAATAACACAGACAATGTTTCTCGTTTCTTGAAATTCTTCTGCAAATTCTTTACTTTTTATACAAAGTTGTTTATTTTCACTTTGTGTTGGAATTTCTTTAACAAAGCTACCATTAACGCTTATGTTGCCGATTATGTAACAATAATTATCAAAGTTTTCTGGTGCGGGCCCTTCTGATCCATTTCGGCAATATTTAACAATTTCTCTCCATTCCCTTTGTTTTCTCAATACAGTTTCTTCAGTATCGAAATGTGCACTGGAAACATCAAGCCCCATGTGCCTTTCGAACAGCGTGTTTGGGACACTAAATACTATGACAGCGGGCTTGCTTGATTTCTCTCTGGCCCATGTTTTGGCATGGGAAAACACGTATGACAGGTAAAACCCGTCATCATCCGAGAAGTCTTGAGCTCTTTTACCTCTTTTTAAAATAATGCCATTCCTTAAAATATTAACAGCATTTTCGTGGCTTGTGCCATGAAAATATTGGGAGTTCGCTGCAGGAGCACTTTGTATAATGAACCTGTTAATTTTAGAGTGTATTGTTCGTTCTTCTATATTCGACACGTTAAAGACTTGAATATCCGCAGAGCTTTGTTGTCTTGATGTCCTTTGGAGACGAATAGATTGTGGTGGAAATACATTTTCATCAACAGCAAAAGGATAGTCATTACACTGTGTCAGAAGTGGATGGTTTTGGAACATGTTTTCAATGTGCACAGTTGCCCAGTAAAGAGGCGATTGGTGAGTGCTCAATTCCTCTGGTATGTTACCCACAATAAACGCAGCCGTCTCTTCAGTAAAACCCATGTTAAATAATTCTTTTTTTGCCAGACCTCTACGACACTGATGCTGACTCATTAATTCAATAGCATTAATCACGTGATAAGATTCTCTTTGATGTGGCCAAATATCAATGTTTATTGTCTTCAAAGATTTTCCAAATTCGCTTCTTAATCCTAAAATGACGCATAAAATATCTATGTCAAATACAATCAAACCTTTTTCAGATATAAATTTCTTGTCAAAATTATATTCTGACGTGATGTCAATTTTATTAATTGCTCTTTTCAAACTGTCTATTACGTCATCCCTCAAGCTGCTTTTGGGTCGAATAAAGTTTTTCAAATAGCTGATTTCATGAGAAATAGCTTTAATGTTAGTTATTAGTCCTGCAAAGCTTTGGTTTTCCTGAATAAAAGTGAAATTATACCCTGTTAAAATTTATAAAACGTTTTAAAAAATTAGACATGTTTAAGTGTTCAGTTAATCAATTGATTCCGATAATTTTTAAGTGAAATTGAGAGTATTGTTTAACCAAAATTTAATATTATACTAACCTTTTATTTACAACTTGTTATATCAGAAATATTGTTAGAAATGTAATAAAAATATAGGATTCATATACCTTACTCTCCTCAATGATTGCATCAATAAAGTGAGTGTTGTATGCTAAAATCAGGCAGGCTAATGTCAAAGTATGGTTCACTGCTGCAATACCAGATTCTTCACTTATCGCCATAGCCAATGTCTGCTTACTGATGTCTGTATTTAGATATCCTAGAAGTTTACCTTCTTTTATACGTTCAAACCAAGGAAACATAGTATTTGTATCTTTGAAAAAGTATGCCAGAAGTAAATTTTGCTTTGTGAGCTTTGTAACTGTTAGCCAATAGCTTTTCAGCAAGTCGAAAATTATGTCCAAATCATTTGTAAGAACAGCCTTCGTCTCTGAATGATTATCCTGAAGCAAAGTAAAATATATTTTCTATATTATTTTTTGTGTATTTAATTTTGCTACATTACTAGAGAGAAACAAATATGTTTAGAACCTTTGAATCATGTCTGTACAATTACAGTCTAATCAAATAATTTCTTTACAAAATTAGTGTCAAATTAAGTATTTTAAAGGTCTGTGCGTTATTAATAAACGGACAATTTATATCAGTATTAACTTCTTGGACATTTTAAAATAGTGACTATTAAATCTAGTGACTATTATTCAATACTACTGCTCTCATTTATTAGGGTGATATCGTCATATTGAAAATGACTTTAACAACACCTCCAATATATACTTTCTATAATACATGAGAAACGAGCAACATTTATAAATACAGTTTGATTATTCTTCATTATTTAAAAAAAATATTGTAATACATAAAAAGCTAAAGGCGTACGCAGTTTTATTGATTGCTTATACTTTACATGATGAATTTATGTTTAGATTTTATTAATTGTTAATATGAATAAACATATAAGTAAAATAACATAAGAAAATGAGTATTTTCTAAAAATTTAAAATCCAGATTTTCTTCAAGTTTTTTTTTTTAAAGTTTTACCGGTCTCGTTTAATATTTCAATAATTAACCATTCAGTTTAATCTTGTCTCAAACTTAATAAATCTTAAAAATACAATTAAATAAAATGATTAAATAGTGGCATTGATTAACAAATTAATGTGATAAATATATTAATATAAAAATGTTTAAATAAAAATACTAATTAGACTTAACTGGTTTTTTAACCACACAAAGTGACCTGAGTTTTTTGATGACACAAGAAGGCAAGGCTATGGTTTTCTCTGTCGTGAATTCTGCGTTAACAAAGGTTCTAAAACTGCAGCAGCCTAGTCGATACAATGCTTTTCTATGGAGTAGAGATAAACAAGAATTTAAGATGCTTCTATATCGCTAGAACCCTGCAGCAGATTTGAGATTTAGCATCAACATTTATATATATATATATATATATATATATATATATATATATATATATATATATATATATATATATATATATATATATATATATATATATATATATATAAGCTAATAGCCATAGGTATGGACGCATAATATTCATTGATTAACACTGATGTTAATTCTCTGTTGCAAAAGCTTTACACTTACGGATCGTCGGTTGGGTTGGTCTCTAGCTTGTATAACCTCCAGTTAGGTTCTCTCTCAAGAAAGAGTCTACTCAGAACACTTTTGGTCAGTTTTGACCACTTGGTCATGCATTTCTCTGCTTCAAGGACTTTTTTCTTTTTCTTATTGTTATAGTTATCCTCAACTAGTTTGTGAAGGTCATAGCAACACACTTCATTTCTGTCTTCATTTAGATCGCAGAATCCACATCGGCACCATTCTGGTATAAATAAACATAGTCTTTTTATTAAAACAACTCATATTGGCTTAGTTAACTTGTTTTGCTTCATGATGTGTATATAAAAATGTATTTTCAAATTTGAAAGCGCTACTAAGCTTGAAAAAAGAAAATGTAACGACCAAGCAGGAAAGCTAGCGCTATATTTCTGTGTCACTTAAACTCTTACCCGGTTTTCCTTGTATTTTCTTTGAAGAGGACGCTTCGTCGTTTTTCTTTACTTTCTTTACAACTGGTTCTGTAGAAGTTATTTCTAACTGAAGTTTTTTTTTTTAAATGTATATATATATATATATATATATATATATATATATATATATATATATATATATATATATATATATATATATATATATATATATATATATATAATTTGTTCAAAACACAATTGATATTACAATGTAACTTACTCAGATAAAATAAAATGTAAGCAATAAAAAGAAAGTTCCAATTACGTTTTATGTATTACCTACCCTTCATACTAATACTATAAGATTTAGGAGAGATACTAATATTTTGTAACAATTTAAAAAGTCATATATATATATATATATATATATATATATATATATATATATATATATATATATATATATATATATATATGTATATATATATATATATATATATATATATATATATATATATATATATATATATAAATATAAATATATATATATATATATATATATATATATATATATATATATATATATATATATATATATATATATATATATATATATATATTACAATTTCGTTTTTATAAGTCAATTACATCACATATTTTATTGTGGATGTAAAAACAGTTGGTCTCAATAATGCACAATTTAAATTATTTGCAAAAGGTTTAGTCTTGTAAAAGTTGTTCTGTTAGTATTGTTATGAAAGATGTATTTGATATTGAAATTTTAAAATATGTTTTTATTTACCACTTGCTTCAGTTGTAGGCCTATTTGTTGCTTTCTTCTTCGCTGGTGTTTCTGTTGTGGCGTAAGAAAAAAAAATGTTTGTAAAAATATGATCCGTTACTTATATATCCCAAATTCATTTAACATTTTTCTAAAATTATTACGTTAATGCTATCTGGTATATACATATATTCTCTAAACATCTTTAATCACGTTAAACATTTGTTCAGTTTATCATTTTGTTTTAAAAGATGAATGACTTACGTGACGGTCCTGGTATTTTGGTTTGTTCTAAGTCTGCTTTTTGAGCTTTGAAATTATATTTGAAATGAGTGCTTGCCATTAATATTACACAATATAAATTATTTTATGAAACATGCAAAGAAATGTTCTTGCTTTATAAAACCAATGTTTTATATAATGAAAAACTACTAAAATGTAAATGTTTCAAGGGAACATTTACTTACAATGACTCTCTTCTGCATTTATAATATTTCCTATTGATAGTGAACATGCCTGTTTTGCTTAAATAAAAATATAGCTCAATATTTTTTTTTAATCGTTCATGTCTTTCAATATAACAATGTTACGTTTTTCTTAGTTACTCCTGTACGTTTAACTTTAGTAAAATGATGCTTTAAATTACTATTGATTAGCTATTTTCTTTTTTCAATGTAGTTTTTGTTAAAATCCAAATCGAAATTTAATAGAAGTTATTAAATTTTTAACAATTTTTTATCCGAAAATCCCTCATGAGTGTTCACAACATTAATGTATGTGCTATTTAAAATGGATGTTTTATCATATCTGAGTATTATTTTTATATTTTCAAATAACAAAAAGTTGATGATCAAACAAAATAAAAAAAACTTGATAATGTAAAATTATTTTAAAAACTAAAAAGTACATACGAATGACGGGTGGAGAGGTAGCCTAGAAAGAAAAAGTATGTATAATTATCTCCATTTAAACATTATGTAAGACTTTATTTCAAATATAAATGGTCTGATCATTGAATTCTAAAAAACTATTCGCTTAATTAACACATATTTTTTGTCAGATTCTATTGGTACGTTTTAACACTTTAATGTATTTTGATACATATTTAAAAATAATATATAAATAATACCTTTAAAGTTATCTTTTTCTGAACTTCACCTGTAATATTGTATATATATATATATATATATATATATATATATATATATATATATATATATATATATATATATATATATATATATATATAATATTTAACACCATTTTTCAAAAGAATTGTTTAAATTATTTTTTTTGTATCATTCTTTTACAGACTCATCGTAAATACCATACACAATTATTGTATCATTTAATCTTCTAAAGTAGAAAATACTTTTCTAAAAATAAAACAATTTAATAAGGTAATCATCAGTCCCTTTGTTATTAATTAAAAATATCAAAATGTATATATTTATTTATTGGAAACTATGTATATTATGATAATTTAGTTATTTCTTTCAAACTTTTCATAAATACATATTTTGAGCTGAACTATTTGTTCTTCACGCTAATAAAGCAATGTAAATAGTTTTGTCCTTTGAAGAAAATATTTTAAATATTAGGATTTTTTTAAATCTAAAGTTTAGGTAAGCCCTTTTATGTTCACGTATTATATTATTTCTTTTTCAATTAAAGATTAAAGATGGAATGTAATAATTTTAATATAATAATGCAATTCCACCTTTTAGTGAAAGAAACGTGCTGACTAGGTCTGTTTGATTCAAAAGTGGGTAACCAACAGCCCTGATTAAGGAGTTGAACCATCCATTGTATTTGATAAGGGTGTCGAAGATTTCTTCGTTTACATTCGTCAATCTTTCTTTAATCAGCAAATCAAAATGATTCTGCATGGAAATCAAGTATTATCTTCATTGCTTGTGATATTAAAAAATAATGTCATCAAGCTACATTCGTCTGTAATGTTTACCATAAAAGAAAAAGAATCATATAGAGTATTAACTTGTTTTGATAGATATATACTTCATCCTATTTATAATCTGTTATTTTTTTAAAAATATGATGCAGTAGGGTTTTGAAAATAAATGTGCTAAAAGACGAAATAAACATATACTGTTAAAATGAAGTAATTTCGACTTACGTAATCCTCTTTAGTAAAGATATTGCTTTCATACATTTTGGTGTAGTTTAAAAATGGTCTGGCATTTATACGACGGACAAAAGTTTCCTTCACAGCTGAAGCTAGTTCATCATTTAGGAGATTTTCTCGATCTTCATCAGAGAGTTAAAAAATAGTATTATATATACTATATTGATTATGTAGTATACGTGTTTATTTTATTTTTTATTTTATTTTTTATGTTGTAGTTTATTTTTTATAATTTGAATATGAACTTTGTATGGGTTAATACAATCACATTAACTACCACTTTTAGAGCACTGGAAAATAAAAATAATTTTCTGAAAACTAGATTAATGACCCTAACACAATATAGATTTTAAATGGAGAGAAAAATATAATTATTTTGATTTTGTGAACACTTTTTCCATCTATAACTTGCTTAAAGTCAGACCTTTCTCTATAAAGTTATTTTTACTGAATAATGTTCAACGAAAACAGTTATTCTAAATTGCTATTACATATATTTTTAATTGGTATATTAAAAACAGATGTATTTTGTGAACAAACATTCTTACCGTTGGTCGAAGATGAGGGGAACTAAAATACAAATAAGAATAGTCACAAAATGATTATAAAACAACGAACTTAATCTAAATGTTACAAAACATTTGAAGTCGTTTCAGTATATCTCAAAAGTAACTCTTGATTAAATAATCAATTTTTAAACGTTCACAATGTATTCAACATTTACTATATCTCGAGAAAAAAGTTTTACCTGTGAAGATGATGCACCAAACTGCTTCACTACACTGTCTTTTAAAATGTAAAAGGATATACATTTACTGTATGTAGGATATAGGCCAACATATATATATATTTTTTAAATTTAATTTGTATTTATTTATTTTTTAAATAAAATCGCTTTACATGAAACTCTAAGAATCGAAATATTTCATCATATTAAGAGTTGATATTAAACTACGTGTATTTAAATATTTTTACAAAAATATACCTATTTACGCTTTATTCACTCAGAGCATGTATTCTTGGGATATTATGCTTACATTTTTTCAACCACTTATACTTTTACCCTTAATACATTATGCCTCATAGCAATATACACACAAAAGCAAATACCTAATGATCTATTATCTTTACTGACGTAATCAGAGCATAGAAAAAATATCCTGTTAAATAAATAACTGTTATTTATTCCATTAAGCAGCTCCACCTTCGGTTTAGCAGTAAAATATGTGTGTATTCGTCTCGCGTTCTTAAGCCATTTTACGTGTAGAAAATTAAATAGGAGTGATCTCCGCTAAACTTTCTCGTAATTTTTTTTAACAGTAAGTACGATGGCACGTTCAGTGCAATCTTGTAATAGAAACGTTCTTTATAGATGTTTTGACACTTAATTTTTAAAAAGAATATAATGCAGTAGAACACAATTTAGCACTGGAAATCGTTCAAAAGTTGATAGAAAACTACAAATTTGAAAGAATATTTATATATAAAATTTGTTCAGAAAACTGTGCTAACAAATGCCAAAACTAACTTTTTCAGGCTACAGAAGGTTAAAATGTTAAAATGTGTCAATATATCTATTTAGATTTTTCATTATTACTATGTGCCCTTAAAATTCCGTCTGGAGATGTTTAAATTGGTAAAAAATATTAAAATTCATTACATTTTTCTGCTAGATTACAACATTTTCTATATATTTTGTACACGAAAAAGTTTAAATGTATTAATGAAAAAAAAGAGCAAAAAAGCATTATGTTTAATCAAACAGCTTACCTTTAAGGTCAATAAAAATTTGGACCAGGTCCGTCTGATTATAAGTAGGATCACTGACAGCTGTTATCAGGCAGGAAAACCAGTCCTTATATTTGATAAGGGTGTCAAAAATGTCTTCGTTAATATTCTTTGCTCCGCTAACCATTTGAGCATTGAAATGACTCTATAAGAATAAAATAAACTGCTTATATTGATCTATAAATTCAAAAGCTGATAAAATGTTATACGTTTGAGAGAATTTAAAGGAATATTATTTGCATACAATATACTGCCATTTTTCTATAAGTTATCTTATTATTAAAAAATAAAGCCTATAGCTTGGAGCTTTGCTGCATCGAATTTAAAATATAAGGCTATAATGTGTTAAATGTGCAATCATTTATTTATGGGTCAAGAAATTGAAAATATGATCTGAAATGTCGCGAAAATCATAACTGAGAAATCGTTTTTGTCAGACAAGTAGTTTAGCCTCTAATAGAAGCTTTTTTTTCAATCAAGTAAATTATGTTTCTTATGGTTAAGTTTAGATAAATCTCGATCAGTGAGAAGAATTTTCAAATTATGGGAGAAAGCTCACCTAACATTAACACAAGTAAATTATTAATTCCCATGTGTGAATATTAAAAAATATTCAAGACCGTTTTAAAAAGTAA